TTGCCATTCTGTATCATATGGGGGGATGGGTAATATTAACTTTTAAATTAAGTGAATCATTTGCTAATGTTTGAATTATCCAGATTTGTCTATAAGAACAACAAAGGGTTCTTATTTTCTTTTGATATATCTTGAATACTTATTGGAGTACTTAGTTTTTTGAACTTTTTCAGACTTTTCTACCAAGATTTCCAGATCCTAGAAACTAAAACCAAAGACACTGATGTACCTGCTGCTAGAAATATGCCATTGCTTCTAAGTTCTCAGTGGGAGCAGCTAAATAAATATATGCATGTGAGAATTTGTAAGAGTGGAATGTGTCTTTTATATCACCAAGATTTTATAATAAACAGATGGTTATATTTTTTAACATCTTTTGAAAGATTTGTTTATTTGTGTGGGCCTATACATGCCATTGTATTCACTGGAAATCAGGATAACTTGTGTTTTCCTTATACCATGTGAATTTCAGGGATCAAGGCTTGGCAACAAGCACCTTTACCCACTAAGCCATCTCACTGATTGACACTTAGGCTTCTTCCACTTTTGGATTGTTATTAATATACAGTTATGAACATAAGTGTACAAATATCTACTGGTTAGCTCTCTTCAGTTTTTGTTGTTGCTGTACCTAGAATTAGAGTTTCCAGATTTATAAGCAGTTTTATTATTTTATTGTACATTTGTTGTTATGTAAGCTGACCCATTTACTGTAGGAGAGGTATTTCTATGGCCTTTCATTTCCTCAATCTTTTGATAGTAGACTTCACTATGACAGCACAAGTGGTTCAGATCCAGGCCCGGCCAGGCATTGTTTTCATGTGGGGACTGTAGTACCAGATACCAGAGGCCCATATCTTCACCTTGGTCTTATCATAGAAGAAGCAGTTGTTCTTGAGTGTTGGTATATTGCAGTTTTCTTACCATTTTCCTAAGGATGGCACCACAGTCGGCCCCGGATTTATTGATGATCCAGATGTTCTTAGTGTATTCAGCCATGTCACCATGACCTAGGCTAAATGTAGACAGAAGTTTCTGTCCTCATTCCCACAGCCATTCAGTTCTAAGTAAACACTCAGAGATATTAATTATAAACTGTTTGACCTATTGCCCAGACTTATTACTAACTAGCTCTTATCCCTTAAATTCACCCATAATTCTTATCTATGGTTAGCCATGTGACTTGGAACCTTTTCTCAGTAAGGCATTTGTGTCTTGCTTCCTTTACCTCTGGCTGGTGACTGAGTCTCTGACTTTCTTTTTTCCAGAATTCTCTGAGTCTGGTTTCCCTGCCTATACTTCCTGCCTGACTACTGCCCAATCAATGTTTTATTAAACCAGTATGAGTGACAAATCTTTACAGTGTACCAGAGCATTATCCCACAGCAGCTAAGCCCACAGAGTCTATAGGCAGTTTCATCAACTATAGGATGTTACATTTTTGGAAAACTTACTGTAAACTTCAGCTGTTGGTCAAGTGCCTTGTTACTGCTGGGTTCAGTTCAGCCCTTACCTGGCTGATACCTGCCTAGAAGGGAAAGATGGGCCTACTTGGTTCCTTCCCACATGGCTTCTGCAATATAGAAATGAAGAGAGTGCTCCAGTCTGCCCACACTGTCTTTTTGAACACCTCCCTGATTAGGGGCTGGGGATTCTTTATTATAGTCAAGTGAGTGTCCCTCTTGGCAGTTGGTGGGGGTGGGGCAGGGTCAGTTTTGTTTTTGGATGATTGGCTGTGATAGTGTGGTCATTAAAAGTTTCCTATTTAGTGAAACTGCTTCTTTCCAGATCTTTTCTGAGTTTTTAGTCTGTACTCACACTAGATGATTGAGCCACAATCCTAAGGATTGTACTACTATTGTACCACCCCTCCGCTTCTTCTCTGCCTTTCTCCCCCCCTTTCCTTTCCTCTTTCCTTCCTTCTTTTCTTCTCTCTTTCCTTTTTTTTTGTTTGTAAAATTTTTACTTGTTTGATTTGAAAGTATTAAATATTTTGAAGATTGAAGTATTGTATGTAGCTTGAATGCTGTTAAAATCTTTAGTCACTAAATAAATGCTGGTGTTTTGTTTGTTTTAACTTTGAGAGGCTTCTCTTCCTTCTGAGCATTTTCTTTTAATAGATTGAAGTATATCTAGGGGTCTTAGAAGCTGGGGTTTATCATAAACCTTCTCCATTAGGGTATCCTTGTTTCCTTCCTGCATTTTCTTATAAACCACTTTCAAATTGCTTGTGATATGTGTGCTAATGTATGTAAGTATTACATGATCTTGCTTGTGTTGACTTTTTGGTTTTCTTTTTTGCTTCTTGCATGTATTTCCTATAGACAAATTGTTCTTTTTGTTTGTTTTACTAAAATTACATAAATATACTAAATATAAAATAAATACATAAATATACTAAAAATAAAAATACATCTACACATTTTCCTAGATGATTTTCATGGGTTCTGATGCTTAGCAAATTGCTTTTATTCCCTTGATTATTTTTTTATCTCATGACTGAGAGGAAGACTAAGAGGATAGTACTTTAATTTTTTTACTTTATATATGTTGGTTAAATTTGCCAAATTTTTCTCTTTTAAGATTTAAATTATATAAATAAGTACACATACAATGCCAAAAATATATAGTTTGGTTTGTATTTTGATGGTACCTACTCTTGGTTCACATCAAATCACATTTGGGATATTTGCAGTTTTGTACTATTTTAAGCAGTGGTAATTGCACATCTCTACGTATATCTCCTGTAACTCAAACAGGAACTTCTAGGAGATAATCAGTAGATAGGTGGATGGATGGATGGATGGTTCCGTAGGCAAGCAAGCAAGCAGGAAGGCAGATGAATATTTTGTAATGGTGAGAGTGGTAGGTTGTATGATAAGCATTTTTTTTGTTTTATAGGTAATGTAATGTCAGAGTTTCCTGAAGGTGGTATCAGAATGTTGACTATATCTTTCACAAAATAATACTAACCTGCAATCAGTTGTTAACTCTGCTTTAGTTGCCTAGAATGTAACAGTGAACAAAGCTCTTATTCCCTGGAAGATTCATTATATAGTGAGAAGCAAGCCATTAACAACCCTGAGCAGTCAGATACCTGTCACTCTCAGAGTCTTAGCATTTCTGACCATGATACCCAGGAACTGGAGATGTTTGAAGGGGAAAAGGATGAGGGACAGCAAGATTTTAATGGTAAAATGGCGAGAGGTATGCTGTTCTGATTATCTTCAGCTGTGTTACTATGGTATGGGATATCCTTCTGTATATGTGTTGCTTTTATTGGTTAATAGGTAAAGCTGCTTTGGCCTATGGCAGGGCAGAATATAGCCAGGCCAGAAAAGATATATAGAGCGAGTAGGCAGAGTCAGAGAGACGCCATATAGCGGCTCAAGAAGCAAGAAGTAACAAACCATGAGCATTGTGGTAAAATATAAATTAATAGAAATGGATTAATTTAAAATGTAAGAGTTGGTTAATAAGAAGCCTGAGCTATTGGCCAAACAATGTTGTATTTTGGGTCTGGGTGGCTGGGAAACAAAGAAGCAGTATCCCTTACATAAGTACTGTTCCCAAACTACTACTTCCTCATAGAGTAGCAAGACAGGTGGCACTAACTTAGTTTTCTGCTGTATGGCATCAACCAGGCAAGGGTGGGGCTGGAAGCATCTGAAGGAGTTCTCGGACTGTATGCTGTTGATGCTAGTTGTCAGCTGGGTTCTCACTGGAACTGGGAGTAGTATGGCCTTTCCTTTTGACTGCTTAGCTTCCTTCCAGCTAAAAGATGTGTTATAAGAGCGTGGATCTGAGAGCAAGCTAGGAGTCTAAAGTCCTTTCTAACCCAACCTTGGAAGTCATGTTGTAGAGCATGGGAGTCACTGAGACCCATCTCAAAGGATGTGATATTAGATTCCTGGTTTTACTAAGAGTCGTGTCAAATAATTGGGTGCACATGTTTTGAAACTGCCACAGTGAAAAAAAGAGGTACGACTATCAAGGGAAAAACAGTCTGGGTATCATGGTCAGAAATGCTAAGACTCTGAGAGTGACAGGTATCTGACTGCTCAGGGTTGTTAATGGCTTGCTTCTCACTATATAATGAATTCTCCAGGGAATAAGCTTTGTTCACTGTTACATTCTAGGCAACTAAAGCAGAGTTAACAACTGATTGCAGGTCAGTATTATTTTGTGAAAGATATAGTCAACATTCTGTACCAACCTGCACTTTTAAAAGTAATTGTTCTGTCACAGAAAAGTGAGTATTAAAGGACAAGAAGCAGGGATCAAAGCATATGAAACAGAATGATCCTTTTGGATAGTACCGAGTCACTGTAAAATGGAAAAGGTTTTGGTGTGGATTATATTGAATTGCTAATGATTGCTATCTTAGAATTGTTTTTTTATCTTTGTTTCCTGTAGCCCAGGCTGCCCTTGCAAACATTATGTAGCTGAGGAGACCATGACCTCCTGATCCTCCCGCTACATCCCCAACCTTAGAGTCACTGTTTGAAAATTGATTACTGCTATTAGAATTATATTTCTGTTTTAAAGACAAAATGGCCTTTAATTCAGTATGTTCTCCTTATTAAGCCCAGGAGCTGGCAAGAGGTGTATAGAAGAAGCATGGATATTGTAGAGTCAGGGTTTAAAGAAAATGCTTCTTGATTATTGGTAACTTTCATTTCCTTTTGCATACAAGTGTGTGTTTATTTTCTTAGTTGTTAAAAAAGTAGGATCTATAATAAGAAGCTTATCTTAAAGGTGAATCTTGTTAAAATGTGCCAGTTTCCATGTGAACCTTACTATCACTGTACCATAGGTTTCCATTATGCATAGAAAACTGATACACAACATTACAATTGCAATATAAATTAGGAATGAATCCCAGATGGTGTATAATATTGTAATTATATATATTTTATCACAGAATGTCTTTTACTTTCATTTCACTTGTGCCTTATTTTTTTTAAATAATTCATTTTGTTCTTATATGCCATAGGATGTATTTTGGAGATGCAGACAAAATATCTTTGATGAAATGAAGAAGAAATTTTTACAGGTAGCCTGCTGATGCCACTGCTTTAGTATGGTAGTCATCAGAGCAATAACAGCATGCATGTGTTTTTGTTTAATAACAAAGCATGTTTTCTGCTTGCTTGACCATTTTATTCCTATTCAATTTTAGTAGCACAGAAGTCATCTTAAATGAATTTTACTTCTGATTTGTCCTTTGTATCAAGTGAATAAGGAGGAAGGACTAAAAGAAGTCGTCAGCAGAGACCTTTGTTACACATTTGGATGTAGTTTTGCTTGTTGTTACAGATATATTTATCTTCTGCGCTATTAATAAATAATAGAAAATAAATATGTACACTATTAGTAGTATACTGCAAAAACCCAAGACTGCATTTCTTACCTCCTAGCTGTTATGATAAAAATAAAATGCTGTGGATCCCCGAGGGGCGCAGCGGCAGAAATACTGCAGGTCCCTTAGTGGTGGCAGTGGACCATAAGACCATGGAGGTTACATAGGCAGTTAGTCCCAGGCAGGGAGCCACCCCCCCCCAAGTAGCTCGTGAGTCCCAGGCTGGGAGCCGCATGGCAGGTGAGAGACCAAGAGCAGTGAGTCCCACAAGAAGTTGCAGCTGCTGCGGGTGAGAAACAGAAAATAGGCATACTATGCAGAGTCAGGTTGGATATTTATTTAGTGGGTTATGGAGGGGAAAGGGAGAAGGAGAGAAGGGGGAAGAGCAGAGAAAAAGAGAACCAGAACCGGGTGCGGGGGAAGTGGGGAGAGGAATGGAAAGGGAGAAGATCTGCTGAACGGGGGTGGGGGGGTGGATGGGGGTGGGGCTTGTCTCTTAAAGGGACAGAGCAGACCATTACATTCCCATCTCTTTTTTATAGTAAAAAGGTGGGAGGTTAGGAACAACAGGTTAAAGGAATTGGGGCGGCGGATTCTCAAGATCGCTTCCTGCTTATTTGTGGGCATCGTCTTGGTGATGGGAACCTGAGAAGGCTGGATGCTGGTCACCTTCTGGGGTAGCTGGTGTCTTTGATCCTGTCCGGTGTTTGTGGTATGGAAATGTCTGGTGTCTCTTACACGTGTTTAAAGTATTGGCAGAACAGAGGACAGAGACCTGTTTAAGGTGGATCCTTCAATTCAGCTCCCTGGAGCTCATATTCTTTGGGTTTGTGAAAATGTAAGTTTTAAACAGTGGCATACTTATATCAGAATGACTGTGACAAATATTTTGCATAGTGAAAAGTATCTTTAAGACTATGAAAGGCAGCATGAGAGAGATTTGAAAACTTGTACTTGTTGAAATTTGTTTGGCTAGGCTGTCCTTTTAAGCAACAAAACCTCAACTGTCAAACTGCATCAGAGATCTTTGAGAAGGATAAAATTTTACTTGAGTTGTTGATTAAAAAATGACAGAGAACTTACTTGGTTAGTACCTAGAGCTACTTCTCAGGGTCCTCCCTGGTCACTGAAGTTTATATTTTTGCTGTTTAGCACAGGGGCTGCCAGGCTCCAGAAGGTCCTGTGGGCCAAGAAATCTGTAGGAAAACAAGCCTACTTTGACCTGAGTAGCTAGGCTGTCGATTCCTGCTATTCTGTCCATGTCTGGAGATCTTCAGTTTAGTTGAAAGGCAGTTTTGCCCAGTTGTCAGCACTTGTTAGTTGAAACAAATTGCCAATGGATGTTGTTCTGTGCCCATTTGTCTTTTGTCTTTTTTTTTGGAGGAAATAGAGTGCTGCTGCTAGGAGCCAACCTGTCTCTTTTTGTTATGAAAAGTTTATTAATAAATATTTAAATGCTATATTCCCCAGATCTCCGAGCAGCTGAGGGCTGTTTATCAGGTATAACCACAGTAAAGAATCTACTTGGAGAGCTAGGTCCAAGCTTGACTGTACTGGCTTTTAACTTAACAAGTAAGATTTACACTCGCAAAAAGACAGAAAGAAGAATAAACTGCTTGCAATAGAAGGTTAATGGCAGAACTGACAATAGTAGAGAACAGCTTAATATATTTTAAATCAGGGTTGGATTAAATATATCATGTTTTTATAAGAAACATAAAAGTACATACCAACTTAAAACGTGAGTCTGCTTTGTAGTTTGGAATGAGATACAATGAACAGACAATTATAGCATTTAACATTTAACAATAAACATAGATGCATTTAAGTTATGTGTGCACAAACACACAGAATGAGCAGGAGTTGGACGAAGTAGATGCTCCTTGCCACTGTGCAAAACACACAGATAACAGATTCAACACCAGGGAACCAGGCAGGGAATACCTCAGTAAAGATAGCGGAACTTGGTCACCTGACTTGGTTCTCAGATGGTGGTAAGGTAACCTGAGCTCAATCAAAATGACAGTGGTCACATGTTTTATGGAGACCAAGAGGTGTGATCCGCCCTGTTCCCAAGCTGCCATGCCACAAGCCGCAAAGGGGAACAAAGGCTGGAATTGAAAACAGCTGCCTTGTGGATTCAACCAATCTTGTAGGTAGCAGTGGCAGGGACAGTTTGAGGAAAGGCTGAGCTGGCGGATCACCAGCAGAGCATAGTTTGAGGGTTTATACCATAGCTGAAAACTTAAACACGGGGAAAACATCACAGGTCCTATAGAAGAGCATCTTCCTCTCTATATAGGCAGGCTGTGAAACAGCAGTGACTACTGCACAGCTTGTAGAAGAGCATCCTCTCTCTACAGATGGGGTGTTAAAGCCTGACTGGCTCCAGTCTAGGTGACTCAGAAGCCAGAGAGAGTTAGAGGCCGCTCTGAGCCGTCTCTCATGGTGGGGACCACTTATGAGTGGTCCAAAAGACAAGAAAAGAAAAAGAAAGGAGAAGGAAAAATCTGAGGGAGCCTTGGCCCCCAAATTATATGCATTGCACTACATGTGCAGTACTAGCATGGGAGGACAACCCCAGGTTGTCCAGTCACATTCTTAGCCATGGAAAGCAGTGACGAAGGGCTCAACTGTAGCCATGAAGGCTGTGGTTGGGGGCTGGAAGGGGAAAACTCACCGAAGCTGCTGGTGTGCCTAGAGGTCTGCGTTCAGACAGATGGAACACGTGGTTGTTGTGGAAAAAAAATACCTGGTTCCAGATCCCAACCCTGGGATAGTGGCGGGAGAGCCTTCCGAGGCTCAGGCACCAATGTTATGGTTTAAGGAAAAACAGTGCTAATCCCCGAGTGGCAGCAGTCGTTTCCGAGACCACAGCAGACTTTGAAGGTAGCCAGTTCCAGGCAGGGAGCTCCTGAGTAGCCCATGGGCCATGAGGGGCAAGGAGCTGCATGGCAGGTCAGAGACCTTGGCGGGGCATCCAGTCTCACAGAAGAGATATGGATAGGCATGCCATGCAGAGTAAGTAGGTATTTATTTAGTCGGTTTTAGAGAGGAAAGGGAGAAGAGCAGAGACTGCATTAACATGATACAAGGAAATGAATATACCACTTGAAAGTCGTGGGCTACATATATAGTTAATATTCTGTTGCTAGAAAAAAATAAGTCACGCTAACACCCTAGACCAAAACATTCTGTAGGCAAACCACTCCCTGGGTGGAATCCCAAGTTATCTCTGTAAAGGGAACTGGAACTTAGTTTAATCCTTACAGTTTTGTTTGAGGTAGGAACAGATCGACTTCTCCTAGAGTACAAAGTCTTACCATTAGCCACGCCTGTTGACAATGACCTAGAACTCTCTGACCAACTTCTAGGTGGAACCAAGATGGGATCTTTGTTTTGAGTTTAGAAGCATAATAACCTTGAAGGAACTAGAGAGTTCCAACTCTCTGACTTTTGGTCAACGCAGAAACAGGCACACATTTTCGGGCCTCCACACTCCCACCCCACTCCACCCACCATCGACAGATCTTTCTATAATAGTTTGCCTGTGCCTGACTGTATTTTGCCATGTTTTTGTTATCTACTGCTGGTTGCAGCCTACCCTACCATCTAATGACTTAAAAAAAATTCATTTATTTACTCAGGTTTCTGTGGGATGAAGTTTAAGCAAGGATTCAGCTTGAGGAACTTGGCTCCATTCATCTGGTAGTTGGCTTTGGATGGAATGTCCAAGAATGCTATTTTCATTTATCACACACCTACCTCAGTGCTTCCACTCAGTGGTCATTTTTGCCTAGTGGAGGCTGCTGATTTCTTATGACCCAGCATTCAGTGTCACAGTGGCACACTTTCTGATGGTTCCAAACATGGTTACATAGCTAACTCAAATTCATGAGAAGGTGGAAACAGAGAAAGAATAGCAAAAAATTAGCATTTTGTAATTCTCCTGAAGATAATACTGATTTTTCCCCTTTGACTATAAGTACTATCATTCTAAGGTATATAGCCTTAAAGAATAGGCAGCTGCTCCAGTTGTCTCAAATCTATGAAATAAATTTTTGCATTTAAATGTTTTAGAAAACACTTAAATATATATTGCAGAGGGAGTTTGCCCTTGAAAAGCTGTTTAGTATAAAATTACAATATCTTATTTATGATACCTTTCGGTGGAGGAAAAATTTTAACAATTCCCAAATTTAAGGTGAGCAAAGGAAAAAATTTTTACAGGGATTTCAAAGTTAGGTGAAATGTATGGTAGGTGTTTTAGATTTAATTATAGGTGAAATAAAGAACAAATCAGATAATTGGGTATAAATAAAGTAATGGTTTACAAAGGGCTAATCTAGACCTTTAAAGACTAATTGACTTCAGGAATATGATGGGCCTGGAAATTTTAGAAAACAGAATGGGTGCAAACTTTATCACATAGTTGTTTTTAAATTTTTGTGGCTTGGGGTTGTAGCTCAGTAGTCTGTCACTTGCTTACCATGCCCAATACTCTGACTCAATCCACAGTACTGACTGTTAAGATCTGTCCTGTCAACTGGGTACCCTGTCCCCTTAAGAGACAAGCCCCACCCACTCCCCCTTCTGTGACCAAGAGGCAAATGGCTCTTTCTCCTCCTCCAGCCTGCACTCTTTCCATCCCTCTTCTGCTCCCTCTACTTTCTTCTCTCTCTCTCTTCTCCCCATCTCTCCCTCTCCCCTTTCCCCTTCCCTTCTATTAGCTACTAAATAAACTCTATACCCAGACACTATCTGCATGGCATATCAGTAGGTCTCTCACCCCGCAAGGTGACCCGCCAAAGCCTCAGGAGACTTGCTGAGGCCTGGGGGATCTGCTGGAGCTTCAGGTGGTCCTCCTCCTGCTTCTCATGGGACCACCGCCCCTTGTGGGATCAATCCCCCCACCATATCTTTTAAAAAAAGAATATCATTGGTTCCGTGACTCAGATCCTCTTCCCCACCCCCAAAAAAGGCATAGTCAGATCTGGCCTAAGAATCAGTAAAATAGATAGATTTTACTTTTAAAGTAAAGTTAATCCATGCATTAAATACTTTTCAATAGAAAAAGATAAATTATAGCCTAACAGAAAAAAGAATTGTGTGATATAAATCAAGAAGTGTAAAATAGCATGTCTAACTCTGATTAAGTGACTGTGTCTGAGAAGCCTGAATGTGTATGTTGCCTCCGCACTTTTCTGTGAACACCCGAACCTCGAACCCACGAGAACGGATTAATATCCTAAAGGGTTAAAACAGACACACACACACACACACACACACACACACACACACACACAAGAGACCAGGCTCATTTACCAAGGAGCAAGTGGCAAATGGCCGCTTTATTAAGCAAAAGTCGGGTATATATACTGTGGAGCAAAAGACACCAGCCCCCCATCAGGAACAAGGAAAGAGAAAAATGAGGGGGCCGCACCCAAGGTCTGAGAGCAGCTGAACAGAGAAAAGAGGAAGCCAGGTGGCTGTGCTCAGAGTCAGAGAGAAGCTGACCCAGGAACCTTGCCTGTGGAGAGAACCTTGCTTGCAGGTGGAATTACCATAACAGTAGAGGGAGAGTTCCCTCTAAGCTATACCCTTGGGCCATAGGTGAAATTATCATAACAGGAGAGGGCGAGTTCTCTCTATGCACACCCTCAAGCTGGTGTGGTGGAACCAGGAAGCAGAACAGCCCTGGGAAAAATGGGGAACGACCTGTGTACTTACATGTGTACATAGAAATAATATTGGAAAGATGCTCAGTAAAATGTTACTGGGTGTCTCTTGAGATACAAAATTATAGATCATTTCTGTGTCTTTCTTTAAACCCGCACATTTATTTATTTATTTTATTTATTTATTTGCTTGCTTATTTATTTATTTATTTTTAGAAATAGAGTTCAGTTCTGTCTGATATGAAACTCACTATGTAGACCAGGCTGGCCCTAAACTCAAAAAGTGATCTGCCTGCCTCTTCCTGTTGATTTCTGGGATTCAAGGTAGACACCACTATGTCCAGCTTCTTACTGTTTTTTAGTGGGCAGCATACTTATGTATAAAAAATAATTATTGCCACTAAAGGAAGTAAAAGAAAATGTAAGATTAAATTTTGTGTTTACTGTAGAACAGTGCTCTTTATGTAGGTTCTAGTATGGTGACTTTCCTGTGTGTTCAGGTGGGAGAAGAATCCAGTTGTTTACTCTCACACATTTTGAGGAAGTTGTCAGCCGGGGTTGTATAGAGATGTTATATTGCCATAGCACCATTGCTAGTATATTACTCTGCAGCATTTTCCATATCTAGATTCCTCTAAGGTATATTGGAATTACAAAGCAGATATTTGCTAGTTGTGGTGGGGGGCATGCCTTTAATACCAGCACACGGCAGACTGAGAAAAGTTCAAGGCCAGCCTGGTCTAAGATTGAAAGACTCCCGAGGGCGTCTTCCTTCGGGAGAGACCCCGTACCCAAAGATCAGTCGAAAACACGCAGCCGGATGCCAACAGCAAGAGGTTTATCGGATACGCAGGTACCTGGGGCGACAAAGTCTCTCGGAGGACTTGCGCGCCCGCAGGTTGGGGGTGAGGGGTTTTTATAGGAGAGCAAAAAGCGAGGTTTACAGAAGCAAGATGCGGGGTGGTAAATTCTTAACCTAAATAACAATGAGAGGACTACTCAGCGGTTTACTGTTCCTCTTATCCTGTCCCCCTTTCCTGGCTGGCGACCAGATGTCTGATTGCACAGCCCCTGACTCGTGACGAACCCCGCTTTATACGTGACTCAGGCCTCGCAATCCTCTCTTTCTTTGTTTCTATGGCCAGTCTATAAATCCCCTGTCTTGCAGCCAGATAAGGCTGTCCTTGCTCTAACCTCAGGTATCTTTGCTCAGCATTCCGGAGGCCCTGAATTAAGCTTGTTATTTGCTCAGCATTCCGGAGGTCCTGAACTGAGCTTGTTATCTGCTCAGCATTCCGGGGGTCCTGAGCTGAGTTTGTTATCTGTGAACCTTTGCAAAACGGTATAACTGTGGTTAAAACGAGTTGGGGTCCTTCAAGATATGTTTCCAGACTCTGTCTTGTCTCAAAACAAACAAATAAAAAAACAAAATCCAAACAAAAATGTTTAGTAGTTAAAATTATTTTGAGTTCACCCATTTACTATAGACCAGATTTTTTAAATCTTCATTTTTATTTTATGTGCATTAATGTTCTGTCTGCATATATGTCTGTGTGAGGGTGTCGGATCTCCTAGCTGTTAAAAACAGTTGTGAGTTGCCACGTGGGTGCTGGAAATTGAATCTGAGTCCTTTGGAAGAACTGTCAGTGCAGGCCCCAATTTTTTTTTAAGATCTGGTTTATGTTTCTTAATTTGGATTTTAAGTGTTTAATATAATCCATTCTATATGTTAATATCTCCCTTAAATATACAGTTAAAGGCTTTTCCTCCTTTTCATAGGTATATTAATAATGCCCTCTTTACAGTTAGTTTTATAGAGAAGGTATTTCTCATTTTCATTTTTAAGTATGTTATTGTGAGTAATTAGATGTTTTATTTTTCTGAAATGTAGTGCTAACCCATCAGTTTTAAATGTTACACTTTCATAGCAATGTATTTCTATTTCAAACAGGATTAACCTTCATTTACACGATCCCTTACAAGTCCAAAATTGACATTGCAGAAACAGATTTTAGTGATTTTACTTTACCTCACCTGACTTGAACCTTGTGGCTGTCCCTGTTGTCAGTATTAGTTGATGATATTGATTCTTATTTAAAGTGAATAATATGGGCATAACAAAAGATTGCAATTGATTCTGTTAAAGACAAAGAAGGAGTTTTTGGAAATGGGACTAAAACTAAATGGTAGAGTATTGACTAGCATGCAAGAGACTCTAAATTCAGTTCCCAGTACCTTAAACTGGGGAGAGGAGACAAGAACGGGAGAGGAGGAGACAAGATGTTTGGGTAGAGCGCTAAGTGTGAAGATTGTGTTTCTGAATATCTTTTCTTGGGGATGACCAGAGGTCTACCAGGGAAAGCAAGTGAGTCATAACCAGAGCTAGTATTAGAAATACTGTTTGGATTTAAGGAAAATTGAAAGACACAAACTTCTGAGGAAACTGTTGCCATAATTTGAAGCAAGATACTCTTTTCATAAGAGAGGAACAGAGCAACAAGGGGTACCTAAAAGTAGACTAGATACAGTTTGGTGCAAGTAGCAGATAAAGAGAGAGCTGAAACTGGAAGACTCTTAGCTTGGCTCTTGTTTCAGAAGGTTGGTAAGTGTAGGTGGCTCTTGTTGGGGTGGCCATTAGATGAAGAAGAGAAAGGAATTTATTCCACTCAAGCATCCAGTGTGTTCAGATGCAGCTGATGAAACGGAAGAAAAAAATCAGTATTTTCAAGAGTTTGGGAGAGGAGTGTAGGACATAGTTTTGGTTTGGTTTGGTTTTGAAAGATATTAAAAAAAAATTTTTGTCTTTGCAATTACTGATTGAAGGGGAATTTATAATAGAAGGAAGAATAAGTTACAGTCTGATTTCCAGATTGATAATTGAAAAGATTTGGTAATAACTCATTTTTTAAAGATCAAACTTGCTAATAAAAAAAATATGTATGTTTTGCCTGCGTGTATGTCTATGCACCACTTGTGTGCCTGTGCCCAGGAAGGCCAGAAGAGAGCACTGGTTCTCCGGGAGCTGAGTTACAAGTGTTTTTGAACTTCTTAACATGAATCCTAGGAACCAAACTCCTGTCCTGTAGAAGAGCAGCAAGCTCTACTTTGTAACCGCTGAACCATTGCTCCAGCCCTAAATTTTATAACTTTTACCTTAAAGGGTAAAACCAAATATCCACAAGAATAACTACTTTTACAAAGTAAACATGGTGATTATATTTGACATGATCTATTAGGGTATGTTTTTTACAGAGTAAAACAATTCAGAGGATATACTGTTGTATGTGTTCTTTACAGTGATCATAAAATATTATTGTTAATTATAGCTGTGTTTTCCTTTAAGAATAATAATTAAAAATAACATTGTTTTTTAAATTTCAGATAGAAAATGCAGCTGAAGAACCAAGAGTCTTATGTATAATACAAGATACTACTAACTCAAAGACAGTGAATGAACGGATCACTTTAAATTTACCAGCATCTACCCCAGTCAGAAAGCTCTTTGAAGATGTGGCCAACAAAGTAGGCTACATAAATGGAACCTTTGATTTGGCGTGGGGAAATGGAGTCAATACTACTGATACGGTAAACCCACAGACCTAATGCATCTGCTTAAGCTGCATAAAATAATGTCATAGCTATAATTACTGTGATTGTTAGTGTTAATAAATGAAAGCCTGGACATTATAATGCCATTTATATAGTTATCAAAAATGTAGTCACTGAGTACATCGCAGTGACTGGTCCCGTCTCTCTTGTGGAGTCAACAGTTGTCCTGAAATTTGCATAATATCATCAGGTCTTCAGTTTTGTATTCATAAAAAGTTGACTATCATGCATATCAGCAAAAGAAATTTTTCTGTATTTACTGAGATATTCATTTTAATAGTAAATTTATTAATGAGAGTACTTTTTATTTTGTGTACCTATGTATATTTCTGGGCATCTTTTTCTATGTACGTATGTAGTGTGTTACCATGTAAAACTCTTGATTTTAACTCTCAAGCTCAAAAGTGTTTCTAATGTGTGCAGTCTCAGATGTGAACTTTTTTTTTTATGTCTCAGACTCTGTCCTGTTAACTGCTCACTTTCTTTGTGATGTTTCTACTTCTTTATTTGTTGCATTGCCTCATTTCTTTTATATTGTGGCATCTCTTCAAAGGCTGAGTGATTCTTCTTTTGCTCATCTTTATATTCAAGAAGCTCTACAGAGGCTGATTAAATTTGCAGTATTCAGTTTCCATTTTCTTATGGAAGGGATAGAGCCTCCTGATGTCAGCCCCATCTGACTGGGGTTGAGAGGTGACAGCATATCCCTACATGGCTCTGATCTTCTCTGGTGACCATAGTGCCCATACTTTGCTTTGGCAGGAGAGTTCCATTGCCTACTGCTTAGTCTGAAGAGGGGAAGGAGCGGCCAGACTGAAGGAATGCCCTTTGCCATTTGTTCACCTTGATTCCCTGGCCTCAGCTCTTGATCTTTGCCTAGTGTTTCTACCACCCTTACGTGTTTCCTTCTACAGTAGTCTCCTGTAGGCACTTTGAGTTCTACACTTTAAGCTCCGGCTTTCTTCTAAGTTTGTTTTTCCATAAATCATAACTATTTTCTATCTATTTTTTAATTTCTCTGAATTTCTGGTATGTTCATGATACTCTTTTTCCTGTGTTGTTGCCAGGTTTTTCTTTAAAAATTTTTGTTGGCATTTCATGGAGTTTGGAGGATTATTTGGTAGACACATGATTAGGTCGCCATCTGATCCAATCCTGTATTTATTTTTATTGCAGTAATAAATGAGCTACGTGCAGATTATTGAAGTGTTAATTTCCATCTTTCAACCCTATAACTTCTTGAGTTCTGACAGTAAAGTAGAAATAGATAGCATTTCGTAGTTCAGTATTCTTCTTAAAGGGTTATATTAGTACACACACACACACACACACACACACACACACACACACACACATGTTGTACAATTATTTTGTGATTCGGGACAAGAGTGTGAGACAGAGTCTCACTCTGTAGCCCCTGTAGGATTTGAACTTGACTGTGAGCCTCCTGTTTCAGCCTCCCAGGTGCTGGGATTGCAGGTGTGAGCTCCCATACCTGCTTTGGTTTGGATATTCAGAACATTGCTTATCTTGGAATTCTTATATTCATATATCAAACATTTTGTAGTTTTAGTTATATAAGCTTTTTAAAAAGTTTTTTATGAAAATATTATATTACATACATTTTAGAAAAAGAGTCAGTGTATATTGACAAGCTGTATTGAATTTGATGAACGTTATACATAACATCAATCCCTTAGCCTTTTCTTTGTTCAGGGTTGTAGGTATGGGGGAATGTGAGCCTCTGGGATGTCCACAACATATGTACTATTGGGTTTAGCAATTCAGTTCATGATAAATGAGTTTATTAAAAATCTGACTGAAGAAATTTAGCCAAGTTATTACTGAAAAAAATACTATTTTCATGAAAATGTGTGTGTATTTGGTGTTTTATTATCAATTAATTTTTCTTATAGTCTAACATTTTTGTGCCCCTAGGCACCACTGGATCACACCAGTGACAAGTCTCTTCTTGATGCTAATTTTGAACCAGGAAAGAAGAACTTTCTGCATTTGACAGATAAAGACGGTGAACAGCCTCAGATGTTGTTGGTAAGCTATTTAGAAAGACTTAAATGTCCATAATTTTGTGCACTGGGAATGTAGTTTTCCAGAGGAAGAAGAGATATACAATTGTGTGATACATGATTCCTTTTCCTTTTGTGTTGATTTGCTTTAGTTATATGTGAGGGTGCATCAGGGATCCAAAGCACTATTATATTTAGTCTGTTGCCACACTGGGGCTACTACTGTACAAGGCTAGGAGAGGCCCAGGTTAGAATACCATAAAGGCCTGTATTACTTTGCTTCAGTATAAAACTTATCAGCTCTTTTATTATTTAATGGAAGACCATTTCCATTCCCACTCCCTGACATACTTCCAGCCCCATCTTTTTTGGGTTGATTAATATGTCAGTTAGATGCTTCCTTTGATTTAGTATTCACCTCAGTTCAGACTTGTTTGAACAGATATTCCTGTCCAATCTAGTAGCCTTATATATTAGCTCACTGACTCCCAGTTGGAAGAACTTTTTCCCAGAGTTTTGACTTTTGAAGAGGTATACATATATAAGTTACAGACACTGTACATTCAAGATACTGTTTCTTTAACAAAAATCCATGGTGGGGGCTGAATAGATGGCTCAGAGGTTAAGATCACTGCCTGCTCTTCTAAAGGTCCCAGGTTCGATTCCTACCTACCATCCACATGGCAGCTCACAACCATGACTCCAGTCCCAGGGGATCTATACCCTTTTCTGGTCTTTTCAGGCACTGTATTCATGTGGTGCCTAGATATATATGCAGGTCTACTCATACACATAAAAGTAAAAAATAAAATCATAAAAAAAACCCACTATGGTTAGTAAATCTTGTTTGATGGTTACAAATTTCAGAGGTTGTAGGTTTAAAAAATTAAAGAACCTGGTCTGATTTACCTAGCTGTTTTACAGACTGAATAAACTAATGCTCAGAGAAGATGAACTTTTTCAGAACCTTTTTCTTCACTAAAACTTTCTCAGAACCTCAAATATGATGGCCAGCCTTTAGAAATCTGTTGTGAATAAAGACATCCCTTTGAGTGGGAGATGGTAATAAACAGTGTGTCTGTCCCGAAACAGCACATGAATGTGCCACTTAAGCACCCTGAAGTTCATTGTTAATTTTGTGGCATCACAGGGTTTTGATTGGCCTTGGGTGACTTGAAGTCATAATTAGCTGTTATTGTAGAGCTCTGGATTCACAGTTTTAGAGCTGTGGTTTCAGTTGCTTAAGTCACTGTTCTTGCTCAGTCCTAATTGCTTATAGCTGGTTTTGTGCCCTTTAATCCTTTTCAACATTTTACACATTGACAGGAAGTTTCTCAGTAGAGACTGTAAGGAGCTCTCCATCTAAGTGAGCAATTCTTGAATGTCCCTCACCTGCTGGACTTTACTTACGACATAAAAATGAATGAATATTTAAGTGCTCACTCAGGACTTTGTAGTGGTCTCATTTCCTCATGTAAATAAAACATTTGAAAGAGAATTTCAAAAGAAACTTTTGAAAAATTTACAAAATTATTTGAAAAAGGGTCAGGACCATTGCTTGGTACTCTGAGTGAGACATCTTCAGAGCCATCTGCAGGAAACCCCGGGCACACACTCCTTGGGTGTCTGGTAGGATCAGTCACAGCATAATTTAACTTTTTCTCACTGTTGCTAGTCAGTAAATACTGGTTATGCTGCGTTTTAGGAGGACTCCAGTAACGTGGATGACAGCATGCATGACAGGTTTATAGGTCCGCTTCCAAGAGAAGGTTCTGTGGCCTCTACCAGTGATTATGTCAGCCAGAGCTACTCCTATTCATCAATTTTGAACAAGTCAGAAACTGGTAAGATTTATTTATTGTTGTGTTCCATAAAATCATAATCTCAGCAAGTTCAGGCCTAATAGAATTTCTTCATTTCATCAATGAAACTAGAGCAAGATGACAGGCCAGCAGCTACAGAGTCAGTACTGCCAGACTGTGTGCTGTTCCTTCCCTTATCCCCTTACTGTCTTTACTGTATTGTTACTACTTTTATTTATCCACAAACTAAAAGATACTGTTGATAATCACAAATAATATGATAGTATAATTGAGTGATCCCAAAAAATTCTACTGGGGAACTCCTAACAGTTGATAAAACCTTCAGTGAAATGACTGGATACAAGATTAACTCAAAAAAAAAAAAAACAAAATCAGTAGCCCTCCTATATGTAAATGACAAGTGGTCTCAGGAAGAAACCAAGTGCCTTTTTTTTTTTTTTTTAGTTTGCTTATATGGTGGATTATTTTGACAGATTTTGTATGTTGAATCCCTGCATCTCTGGAATGATATCTACTTGTTCGTGGTGGGTGATTTTTCTGATGTGTTCTTGGATTTGATTTGCCTGTATTTTATTGAATATTTTTGCATCACTATTCATGAGTGAGATTGGTCTGTAATTCTCCTTCTTAGTAATATTTTTGTGTGGTTTGAGTATCAGGGTAATTGTAGCCTAGTAAAAAGAGTTTGGCAATGTTTTTTCTGTTTCTATTGTGAGGAACAATTTGATGAGTATTGGTATTCTTTGAAAATCTTGTTGAATTCTGCCCTGAAACCATCTGGTCCTGGCTTTTTTGGTTGGGAGACTTTTGATGACTGTTTCTATTTCTTTATCAGTTATATATAGGTCTATTTAATTTGCTTATCTTGTCTTGATTTAATTTTGGTAACTGATATTTATCCAGAAAATTGTCCATTTCCTTTATGCTTTCCAATTTTGTGGAGTGCAAGTTTTCGAAGTATGACCTGATGATTCTCTGAATTTCTTCCGTGTCTGTTATATCCCCCTTTTCATTTCTGATTTGTTAATTGGATATTCTGTGTGTGTGTGTGTTTTGGTTAGTTTGGATAAAGGTTTGTCTATTTTGTTGATTTTTCTCAAAGAACCAACTCTTTGTCTCATTGACTCATTGATTCTTTGTACTGTTTGTATTGTTTCTATTCTTTGTTTCTATTTTGTTGATTTCAGTTCTAAATTTGATTATTTCCTGCCTTCTAGTTCTCTTAGGTGAGTTTGCTTCTTTTTGTTCTAGTTTTCAAATGTTCTGTTAATTCACTAGTGTGGGATTTTTCTGCTTCTTTATGTAGACATTTAGTGCTATGAACTTTCCTCTTAACACTGCTTTCATTGTGTCCCATAAATTTGGGTATGTTGTTTGGTTGTTTTCATTGAATTTTAGGAAGTCTTTAATTTCTCCCTTTATTTCTTCCTTGACCCATTGATGATTCAGGTGAGCATTGTTTAATTTCCATGTGTTTGTGATCTTTCTGGAATTAGTGTTGCTGTTGAATTCTAATTTTAAGCCATAATGATCCAATAAGATACATGGGGTTATTCTAATTTTTCTGTATCTGTTGAGGTTTGCTTTGGTACTAGTATGTGCTCAATTTCTGATTTGGTTTTATTAGGTGCTGAGAAGAAGGTATATTCTTTTATGTTTGGATGGAATGTTCTGTAGATGTCTGTTAAGTTCATTTGAGTCATAATGTCTGTTTGTTCCCTATTTCTCTGTTAATTTTTTGTCTGACAGACTTGTTCAGTGTTGAGAGTAGGGTGTTGAAGTTTACCACGGTTAGTGTGTAGGGTTTAATGTGTGATTTAAGCTTTAGAAGTGTTTCTTTTAAAGAGGGTGCCCTTGTATTTGGGGCATGGAACTGTTTTCTTATCCAGTCTGTTAGCCTGTATCTTTTTATAGGTGAGTTGAGTCCATTTATATAAGGGATATAAATGACTAGTGATTGCTAGTTCCTGTTATTTTAGTTTTTGTTGTTGGTGGTGCTATTGTGTATGCTTTTCCCTTCTTTGGAATTTGCTGCTGTGAGATCCTCTATTGTCTGTGTTTTTTGTAGATGTAGTCAACTTCCTTGGTTTGGAGTTTTCCTTCTAGTACTTTGTATAGGACTGGGTTTGTGGCTAGGTATTGGTTAAATCTAGTTCTGTCATAGAATATCTCGTTTTTTTCCGTCTGTGATGATTGAAAGTTTTGCTGGGTGTAATAATGTGGGCTGGCATCCATGGTCTGTTAATGTCCACATAACACTTGACTAGGACCTTCTTGCTTTCATTATTTCCATTGAGAAGTCAGGTGTAACTCTGATAGGTCTGCTTTTATATGTTACTTGGCCTTTTTCCTTTGCAGCTCTTAATATTCTTTCTTTATTCTGCATGTTTAGTGTTTTTTAATTATTATATGATGAAGGGATTTTTTTTTTGGTCCAGTCTATTTGGTGTTCTGTAAGATTCTTGTATCTTCATCTGCATAAATTTCTTTTGGTTGGGAAAGTTTTCTTCTATGATTTTGTTGAATATATTTTCTGTGCTTTTGAGTTGAACAACTTCTTCTATCCCTATTATTCTTAGGTTTGGTCTCTTCATGGTGTCCCATATTTCTAGATATTTTGTGTTAAGCTTTTGTTAGATTTAATGGGGTTTTTTGACCAATTAATTTATTTCCTGTATTATATCTTCAGCGCTTGAATTTCTCTCTTCCATCTCTTGTATTTTGCTATTTATGCTTGCATTTGTGGTTTGTGATCGTTTTCTCATATTTTCTGTTTCCAGAAGTCTTTGGTTTATGTTTTCTTTATTATGTCTATGTTGGTTTTCAAGTCCTGAATCATTTCTTTCATCTGTTTGATAACATTTTCTCAGTTTTCTTTAAAGGATTTGTTGATTTTTTTTTCCAGTTTTTTGTTTGTCTTTTCCTCCATTTCTTTGAGGGCATTTTTCATTTCCTCTTTAGAGGCCTCAAACGTTCTCCTAAAGTTACTTTTTATGTCGTTTTTTTCTGCTTCATCTGTCTTGGGGCATTCAGGTCTTGCTGTGGTACAGCCACTAGTTTTTGTTGGCATCTTTTGCTCTTTGTGGTGTTGAGTGTGTTCTTACCTTTTCTACCCAATTTTTCCTTTGATTGGTGTAGTTGGGGCTGTGTCTCTGGTGATTAATCTTACAGGTGCCAGTGGAGCCAAGGCTCAGATGGTTGCTCCTTGTGATGTAGTCAGGGCCATGGTTCTAGTCACCGGGGAGTGACAGGTCACTTGACGGGCGCTCCCGGAGGTCTCTTGACCCTCTTGTAGGTTGCTTTGGAATCTCTGTTGTCCTTTGGGCCTGCTCACAAGGAGGTCGCTGACTCAGGCCTAGTCCCAAGGAGGTTGCTGGCTAGGGCCTACTCCACTGGAGGTTGCTGGCTCATTCCTGTTTTTGCAGATATCCCTGGCTTTGGTCTGCGGATGTCCTTGGCTTGGGCCTGCTCCTCAGGAGATTCCTCGCTTGGGTCTAATCCACAGAGGTCTCTGCTCTGACTCAAGCCTGCTCCACACCCCCACCTCCCACCCCCCACCCCCACCCCCGGCAGTTGCTCCTTCGTACTTCACACCCGATTTTTGATAAAGAAGCCAGAAATATACAGTGGAAAAAAGAAAACAACTTCAACAAATGGTGCTGGTCTAAGATCTATATATGTCGCCCTGCATTAAAAACTCAAGTTCAAGTAGATCAAAGACTTCAACATAAAAGCAGATACACTGAACCCTCTAGAAAAGAAAACAGGGACTAACCTTTGAACTCATTGAAACAGGAGACAAATTCCTGAATTAAACAGAACACCGATAGCACAGGCACTAAAATCAGCTAGAATTACTAGAACATCATGAAACTGAAAAGATTCTGTAAGGCAAAGGACACCATCAGTAGAACAAAATAACAGCCTACAGAATGGGAAAATGATTTTCACCAACTCTACATCTGACAGAGAGCTAATAACCAAAATATATAAAGAACTCAAGAAAGTAGACATAACATACCAAGTAATCTAATTTTTAAAAATTGGGATATAGATCTAAATAGAGGACTATCAAATGGCCAGGAAACACTTCAAGAAATGTTCAACATCTTTAGCTATCAGGGAAATGCAAATCAAAACGACTCTTGAGATTCCATCTTATACCTGTCAGAATTGCTTAGATCAAGCACACAAGTGATAGCTCATACTAGAGAGGATGTGGAGCATGGGGAACACTTCTCCATTGCCGGTGGGAGTGCAACTTGTACAACCACTTTGGAAATCAATATGACAGTTTCTCAGAAAATTGGGAATTGATTGATATACCTCAAGACCCAGCTATACCACTTGGCGTATACCCAAGGACACTCCATCCTACCGTGAGAATACTTGCCCAGTTGTGTTCATGGCAGCTTTAGCCAGAAACTGGAAACAACCTAGATGTCATTCAACTGAAGAATGAAAGCTGTTTCAAAGGTGTAGTCCTTTATCATCATGGCAAAAACTAAGGTGGCATGCAGGCAGACATAGTGCTGGAGAAGGAGCTAAGAGTCTACATAATGATCCACAGGCAGCAGGAGATGCTATCCCACACTGGGAGTAGTTTAAGCATAGGAGACCTCAAAACCCACCCCTCACAGTGACACACTTCCTCCACCAAGGCCACACTTCCTAATAGTGCCATTCCCTATGGACCAAGCATTCAAACACATGAGTTTGTGGGGTCCCTACCTATTCAGAGTACCGCATTCCACTCGCTGGTCCATAGGATTGTAGCCATAACATAATAGAAAATACATTTAGTCCAGCTTCTATCACAATCTTAACAAAGTTTAAAATCCAAAGTTCTAAGTCTCTTCTGAGGTTCACATACTCTCTTAACTGTAATCCCCTATAAAATCAAAATTCGAAAAATCATACATTTCCAACATATTAATGATATAGTATGTACATTACTGTTCCAAAATGGAGGAAAGGGAGGATAGTGAAGAAATACTGGACCAAAGAAAGGCTGAAAAGCAGATGGGCAAACTCCAAATTCTGTCAACCAACTCTGTTCAACTGATACCCACATCTGACACTGCCTGGGGGGCCAGGACCCAGAGCTTGATAGGCCAGAGACCTAGGATAGAACCAAACACGACTGGGAGAAAAGTCAATGAACTGACTCCTGATGATATTCTGCTATACCCCTTTACCCGAGCCTAGTACAGTTGTTAGCAGAATTAGTTCATTCAGCAACTAATAGTAATAGTTGCTGAGACCCACAGCCAAACATTAGGCACAGTTTAGGGAATTCTGCAGAAGAGGGGGAAGAAGGATTGTAGGAGCCAGAGTGGTCAAGGGCACCACAGAATTAACTAAGACTCACAGGGGCTTAGAGAAACTGAACCTGTATAGGTCTGACCTGTGTTCTCTACATATATGTAATGGTTATGTAGCTTGTTATTCTTGTGGGAGTCCTAACAGTGAGACCAGGGATACCTCTTGCTCTTTTGCTTGCTTTTGGGACCCTTTTCCTGCTGCTGGGTTGCTTGCCCAGCACTGGTATGAGGGTGTGTAACTTTGTGTGACTTGTTATGCCATGTTTGCTTGATCCCTGGGAGGCCTTCTCTTTTCTGAAGAGGGAAACTGGGGAAGAGAGGAAGGGAGAGACTAGGAGCAGAGGAGGGAGGGGAAACTGGTTGTGATGTAATATGTGAAAGAATAATAGATTTTTAAAAATGTTTTAATTCACTCAAAAAACAGTAATTTCGAACTAAGCACTGTTGCCCTCTGCTATGCATTGTTTTCTTTTTCTCTTCTTTTTTCTTTTGGTAGTGTTTTTGCTTAAGTGCTGATTTGTCTGTATTTGTGTTTTCTCTTTAAAGGTTATGTGGGATTAGTAAACCAGGCGATGACATGCTATCTAAATAGCCTTTTGCAAACACTTTTTATGACTCCTGAATTTAGGAATGCATTATATAAGTGAGTATTTGAAAAAAAATGTTCTAATAATAAAAGTATAGTTTTTAAATAATGAAATTGAATTTTCCTTCTTAGACTTACTTGTAACATTTGGGGTATTTCTTACTTTATAAGCTGACTTCTTGAATAGTACATATGAACAAGAAGCTTTTGAAAGACTGACATGGGAGCCATGGAGAGGGAGAATCAGAAATGACCGGATAGAAAAGAATCAAACTGATGAATATCCCCATTCATAGTTTTACTGCGTTTATAGGGAAAGCCATGTCTGATTTTGAGAGAATCCAAACATGTAATATGTACATTCATTTTTCTTCCCCCCCTTTCAATTTAAGAAGTCAGTGTTGTTTTTTAAACTGCTCTCTAGCTAAAATACAGCATAGCTTGTTTGGTTAATTATGTATGCGTGTTTCTGAGACTACATCAGATACTTTAAAATGCTTTAAGAAAGTATATACCATGTCTAGTAAACTCTAAACTCAACCATTATTTTTATGTATATTTTATATTAATTTTTATAATACAGTTCATGTGCTTTTGCTTAGTCTACTTAAAGTATGTGTTAGTTTTTTAGTATTTTTTTGTTGTTTTTGTTTTTTGGGTTTTTTTTGGTTTTGTTTTGTTTGAGACAGGATCTTACTATGTTGCTGTGGCTGTGCTGGAACTCACTATGTAGACCAGGATGGCTTCGAACTCACAGAATCTACCTGAGTCTGCCTCCCAAGTGCTGAAATTAAAGGCTTGTGCCAACCTGCCCAACAATTTAGATTCTTAAAGTATGAGTAAACTGGTTGATTTTCTTTCTCTTGTTGCTTTTGAGTGGCACCTTTGAAATGATATAAATATGTATTTAAATTCTTTTTAAAGCTGTACTATTATTGATTGTATTGCTAACTAATGGTCTCTCCCCATATTCATTTGTAATCTTGTTCTCCGAATTTGCTTGTGGAATCAGAAATGTTTTCATTTTTATTATTTGTTGCCTGGTAATAATTATATTTTAGGCTCTTGGGCAGACAGAGAAGGAGTAAAACTAAGATTTTTTTTAAGTAATTTGCAGATCTGTCTATAATAACCATCTGTATGTTGTAAAATAATTTAAGTAATATTTAGAGTCAGCTAAATGCCACAAGAGCTGAGAGCGGAGAGATATTAATGAACCGTGGAGAAATGAATGGTTTAGTGAAATGGATAGGACTTGAAATAGGTCATGAAGTAGGTATATTTTGGCTGGGTTGACAAGAAAGAGGACATTGTATACAAGGAATCTTTTTAGAAGTCATAGTGAATAGTTAGTGCTCCCTAAATGTGTCATGACTCTTGGGAGCACTTTTATATACCCACCCAGTTCTCACAATGGCTGTGAATTATCTGCTTTTGTTACCCCCCCCATTTTGTAAAAGCAGTTCCTAAAGACACAAATACTGCTGAGGCCACACTTAAATGCCAGAACCCAGTCTCTGTTGCTCCTGTACTGTAGCTGATGGCAGTGAATAGAGTGGGTTGCAGAGACCCCTAGATGAACACAACTGTCAGCACACTGGAAGGCAAGGTTAACGATGGGCTAGAGCCTGCTGAGGTTTAAGTAGTCCAAGATGATTGCCTGTTACAACATAGTTTGTGTGTGGGTATGTATCCCAGGTCCTGTTTAACTAAGGATTCTGATACTCCGAAGGTGGCCTGCAAATTTACAGCTCTGTAGAAAAAAAGAGTACCTCAGGACTGTTGAAGTAGCAAGCATTTCTTGGACAGTGACTGCATACCATGAGTTCTATTAGACACAGAGTTCACAGTGTTAATAGGACAAGTCCCTCCTTCAGAGCTTCCATTGAGAGCCTGTATAAATAAATTCATTTTACAAGCCCAGTATGTCAGGAAAGAAATAAAGCAAAGTAGAGGGAGAAACTTCAGAAGAAAGGGTTGAGCTGGGTTACAGTGTTAGACAATGAGGAAAGGGAAACAGCCACAAGAGCAGCTTTCATGGTAGCCCAAGAGCTGTAAATGCAGAAACCTTTGGGAGCCAATGAAATCCACTATGAATAGGGATGCAGGCTAAGGCACAGGTTCAAAGAGGAGGACTGGATGCTTTGAGATTTAAACTATAGGTGGAAGTTCAGAGCAGGTGGCTGAATGAAGCCTGGCCGCACTGATGTCTGAGTACAGATAGACCTAGGAGGCCTGCACTACTGCCAGGAGCAGCACAGTGAAGGATGAAGTTGCATATTCATCTCTTGTGTAGTAGCTGACATAGACTCAAGTGTTAACTTGGAGGCTTGTGATACATTATGACTTCTTAGGAAAGCTTATGTAGTGCATTTGAAAGTGACGTGAAAAAGATCCTTTTGAGGTCCTGTCATTAAACCAAGCCTGGATGCATGAGATCAGAATGGTGATCGTGGGTAGCAGTAGTACTTCTGAATGAAAACATGATGACAAACTGGCAACTTTTTTATAGTAATAAAAGAGAGAGAAGAATTGAATGTGTCAACAAAACGTCTAACTAAATTGCAAAATTGCAAATCCCAAGAGATTTACAACCTCTTAAGTTTGTAATAGAATTTGAGATCCTGTAATGACAATTCTAAGAGCCTTTCATGAAGATAACTAACAAGAAAGCTGGTGACTGAGTATAGAGGAGAGAGAGGGTTAAAACATATGTGATCTCAGAGATTGGGTAGAAAAGAAAGTAGATTAGAGGCTGGAGGACTCTCCCGTGGGTAAAAGGGGCAGGGCCACAGAAGTATAACACCTCAATCCTAAAATACAAAAGAGTATTGAACACTTAAAAGAAGGATATACTCAAAACCATTTGTAAACTGCAGCATAGGAAAAGTAATAGTCAAGCCTCCTTTTGAAACTCAAAAGGAAGTTGAGAGCAGTGAAGTAATCTTCACATTGCTAGTTTCAGACTGGATACCATCAATAGTGTTCTGAATGTTTGGCATTTTGTTATATTAAATACAGCATCCCTTAAGAGCTTGTGAGTTTGTTAGCTAACTGTGGTTACCCAGTCTTTTCTCTGCCATGTGATCCTAAGTTTTTCATATGGGGACTTCACTTGCTGAGGCAGTCCCTATAGCTAAGGCTAGATGATCACTTATAAATATGTGAGAATAAAAATCTACTGGGATTATTTTATTTACTTAATAGCTTTTAAAAATGTTTTATGGTTGAATATTTGAAACATTTAGAAATGAGGAAATAGTATCATGAGTCATCTGCTCTCATTACCCATCTGTGGTAATCTAGTCTTTCTATATCAATAGTTTCAACCAGTGGGTTATGACCCCTTTGGGTGCCAAGTGACCCTTTTCACAGGGGTTGAATATCCGAAATCCTGCATATCAGATATTTATGATTCAAAACAATAGCAAAATTACATTTATGTAATAGGAAGAAAAGTTATTTTATGGTTGGGGGTTACTACACATGAAGAACTAACTGTATTAAAGGGTTGCTGCCTTAGGAAGGTTGAGAACTGATGGTCTGTTTGTAAACTTCCATCCCAGTGACTTGGTAGGCATAGCTGGTAGGCATAGCTCCATTTCATTTGTGATATAATGGCTAGAGTTCCTGTGATGGCCACATAACCTTTGTTTGTTTGTTTTTGTTTTTGTTTTTCGAGACAGGGTTTCTCTGTAGCTTTGGAGCCTGGAACTAGCTCTTGTAGACCAGCTGGCCTCAAACTCAGAGATCCACCTGCCTCTGCCTCCCAAGTGCTGGGATTAAAGACATGTGCCACCACTGCCCAGCAACCATATAACTTTTTAAACCATTTGTTTAATCAGATCCAATCAAGACTCATAGTTGATCTTAATGATCAATATGTTTCTTAATTGATTTAATCTGTTTTAGATCCATCTGTTCTCCTTTGTAATTCCCTGAAAATATATATATATTGAAAGCTGGTGTTATTTGTCTTACATTTTTTCCAGTTTGGGTTTTAATGTTTTGTTCTTGAATACTCTGCATTTTTTGTGAATTACTTATTAGGACAAAGTTTGATCCGATTCAGATTTGACCCTTACATGTAAGTAAGCTTTGTTTTTCCTTCTCCAGACTAGAGCCACCTTGTGCTTTTTGTTTTGTTTTAAGTTTGTAAATTAGAGAAAACTGATTTATTTAATAGTTTTAGTTAATATCCAAACTTTATGTATTACCTAGAATTAAGATCTTATGTGATGATTTTGGTATTAATTTTATTTTAAAGCATGGAATCATTTTATATAGTTAACATGATCTCATTCTTCCTAGGTGGGAATTTGAAGAATCTGAAGAAGATCCCGTGACAAGCATCCCGTACCAACTGCAAAGGCTTTTTGTTTTGTTACAAACCAGCAAAAAGAGAGCGATTGAGACCACAGATGTTACAAGGAGTTTTGGATGGGATAGCAGTGAGGGTAATAACTCTCTTAATGATAACAACTTCTAGTGTTCAGAGACTTCTGGACAACACATCAACAATATAATGATCTTTACTTGAAACATACTGATTTTTGCTTGAATATTAAAGTAATTTATTCTTAGTTATTAAGCTCTGAGAGGTAAATTTTAACCAATTAAGGTTCTTGTATAGTTAAGTTTAGTATTTTCTAATTTTTGTGTGTGTTTGGTTGGTTGGTTTTGAGACAAGGTTACTCTGTGCAACAGCCCTGGCTGTCCTTGAATTCTCTTTGTAGACCAGGTTAGCCTTGAAGTCACTGAGATCTATCTGCCTCTGCCTCCCAGGAGCTGAGGTTAATGGTGTGTGCCATCTCCTGGTTTGGTATTTTCTTTTTCTTTTTTTCTTTTTTCTTTTCTTCCGAGATAGGATTTTGCTGTAGCTTTGGAGCCTGTCCTGGAACTCACTCTGTAGACCAGGCTGGCCTTGAGCTTACAGAGATCTACCTGCCTCTGCCTCCTGAGTGCTGGCATTAAAGGCGTGAGCCACCACACTCGGCTGTATTTTCTATTTTTAATGAGCTTAAAATAAAAAAAAAGGTACAGGGTTTTTTTTCCTTAGTTTTTTTTTCTGACATTTTTTTTTAACATGATAAAGATACTGCAAAAAATACTAAAAAGGGGGCAGGTTTGTTTACTTTGTTACTTTAAAAATATTTCTTTTATTTTTTGATATTATAATATAATTTCATCATTTTCTCTCTTCTCTCTTCTCCCTCTAAGCCCTCTCTTATACCTCTCCTTGCTCTCTTTACAAATCTTTGACCTCTTTTCTCATTAATTGATGTTGCAAACGTGTTGTAGATATATCCATTAGGACTGAACTCCATAGTTCTGCATTTTGTTTGGTTGTGGTTTTCTGTCTGATGCAGAGAGAAGTGTCCTTAATGTGGGGTGTCTAACATATTTCTTTACAATAAAAACTAACAAGTATTCTAGTACCAGGAAGCTACTTACACAACAAGACTTACTGTCTTGTCATGGCTGTAATATGTCTTCCTATGTTCTTAAGAAACTTTCAGTTGTTTAAAGTAGACCTGTCTATGTTCATATTTATGTTGAAACAGTAGTGCAATATTTCATTATGTTGTTTGATACTATTTTTAATTAAATTTTGTATTAAAATAGCTTGGCAACAGCATGATGTACAAGAACTATGCCGTGTTATGTTTGATGCTTTGGAACAGAAATGGAAGCAAACAGAACAGGTAACTTCTCTCTCAAGCCGAGAGGACTATGTTAAGTCAGTTGATACCTTAAAATGACTTTTATTCTGTTGGAATTTTTTAAGACCTGGGCATCAGTCTACTACATCTGGAATTGAAATTACTAGACTCCCATCTGCTGTTGATCGAGTCCTAAGCATCTTTTTTAAACTACCCCAAACCTCAGCTTCCTCTTTGTCCTAGTAGGGTTTCTATTGTTAAGGTGAAACACCATGACCGAAAGCAACGAGGGGAGGAAAACATTGTTTTGCCTTAAATTTCCACATCATAGTCAATCACTGAAGGAAGTCAGAACAAGAACTGAAACAGAACAGGAACCTGGAGGCAAGAGCTGATACAGAGGCCATGGAGGGGTGCTACTTACTGACTTGCTCCCCATGGCTTGCTCAGCCTGCTTTATTATAGAACTCAGGACCGTCAGACCAAGGGTGGCACCACCCACAATGATCAGGCCCCCCCACGTCAATCACTAATTAAGAAAATGCCCTGCTTCTTATGGAGGCATTTTCTCAATTGCATCACTCTCCTCTCTGATTACTCACTTGTGTCAAGTTGACAGAAAACTAGCCAGCACATTCATCATCAAAACAAGGGAATTGGTCTGTATATGCAAGAAGGTCTTTTTCCACTCAACACATCTGCTGTTTAGGGGGATAATTTCAAGTATTGTTTTCATTTTTTTAAAATAAATACCACATATAAAATGTTTTCATCTAGTTTTATCTTCATTTGCCCAGTCAAATGTAATCATGTACTTTGACATTTAGGGTCCTTATTTGTATGACTTAACTCACCGAGTGATCTGGCTCTATGGGATTCAGTGTGGATGAGAGTATATAGACTGGGTATAATAGAGTATCCCAGGGATGAAAGAGTAAGAGCTCCTAAGGACCTGACCTCTGATTGGAATGATGTGGTTGCTTGGAAGAGAATCTTTTAAACAGGGGGTGGGAATCCTTTTGTACATTATGAAATCAGTTTTAAGGGGTCTATACCTCAACTTTCAAAAGGTAAATAGAAGAATATAACAGAATTTATAAATAGGAATAACAACTGTTTTATAACTATGTTTAGTTACATAAATTATTTCTTTGTGTGGGGAAATACCATTTTTTTTTAGGGCACTGGTTTTGAACGATTTTGAAAAGTCTTATAGAAGTCTTATAGATGCAGATATAAGAATATCTGCCTGAATGGGGCAGGAAAGTGAAGAGTCCATCAAGTCAGTTGTATTAGAGTAGGCGTTAGTGGATCCAGTCTGAAGGTGTGTAGGTCCACCTTGCACATTTTAGCAGATGTGAATTTATGAGGAAGAAAACTGTTAGTATGTTTTCTCTTAGACTTGGTTTTTATTTGAGATGATGAAAATCATTTAAACAGTTGGTGACTTCTGCATAATTCTATGGGAATTGAGTGATTTTATATAGATGGTATTAGGGGCAGTTCTTCATAGGTCAGAAGTTACCCTTCCTCCTTGTTCAGATCTCTCTCTGTGAATCAAGACTTCATTAAGATCAGCTGGGACATTCTTACTGACTTCCTAAAAGTTAGTACAAGAATCTTGAGGCAAGACATTCATATAAAGGGTCATGACTTAGGCTGTTATCTGCCTACTCTGAGTCAGCAGAGTCCCAGTTGGTTATTTGGGAAATAGGTGAGAAAGATGCATTCTTTTTAGATGATGATATTTTGAGGAAATTAATTTTAAGATATTGTTCAAATTCTTATCTTAAATTTTTTGCATGGTTTTGATTATTATTTAATTTTTTATTTGTCCAAATTAGTGGAATTTTATAAATAAGAATATACTGTGAGACTGGTGATGTTTGTGTAAAATAGTCAAAGCATAACAGCTCTTTAGCTTTTTAACCACACACCTGAAATGTGGCTTAGGACACATTCTGTCTAAGGAAAGGAGAACAGAGTGTGTTGATAGTTGACGTCGTCACCATCTATTTTACTACTTGAGAGTTCTATTGGTTTGGGTTATTGAAATAGTTAATTGTATACATTCTGTTTTAAATTAATGATAATCTAATTTTATTTCTTATCAGGCGATTTTTTTTCAAGTGTCACTTTCGTCTCTTAAAATTTTAGGTATATCTTAATTGGCTTTCTAAAACTTGAATACTAAAAATCAATATCATCTTGTGTCTTTTCTAAAAAGCATTGATTACATTAGGTATTAACTTAAAGTGGCTTATATTTTTTAAAATATGAATGTTATTTTTAGGCTGATCTTATAAATGAGCTGTATCAAGGCAAGCTGAAAGACTACGTGAGGTGTCTGGAATGCGGTTATGAGGGCTGGAGAATTGACACGTATCTTGATATTCCGCTGGTCATCCGACCTTATGGGTCCAGCCAAGCATTTGCTAGTGTGGTATGTACCTTTCGCTGACTGTGTGGTATTTTTACAGAGTACACAGTTGCAAAGCAGTGTGACCTCTTATCTGGTGATAGCATCCTAATCATGTTTGGTAAGAGACCCTGTTTCTAAAAATAAGGTGAAAAACAATTGAGGAAGACATGTAACATTGACCTCTGACTTCAGTATGCAGACACATACCTATACACATGCACACGGTGTCACATACACACAAAATAATTAGGCATTTAAAGCTGCTGACAGTGCAGAGAAACTGGGTTATGTTGCTGCTATAAATTTAACATTACAGGTTATCTTTATGAAACTGAATGTGTAATTGACATATTCAATCAATAACACTGTATTCTGGACCATTTATCCAAAAGAAATGAATTCTTGTTCATATAAAAATGTGTACATTAATATTGATTGCATTTTTAATATTCAGAAACTGAAGTAAGCTGAGGTTTGCTTTAACAAGTAAATGAACAAATTGCAGTGTGTGTAAGCTATGGATACTGGTTAAGCAGTGAAACGATCGGATGGTTAATACAGTCACTAATTTGAATGAATGTGCAGGAGATAATGCTATATGGAAGAAAGCCAGTTGCAAAAGTTGACATAGTGTCTGATTTCATTTACATAAACTTGGTCATGTAAATGTTTTTATGACTACATTTTAGACTGCACCACAGATGATAAATATGCATAGAACTTAATACACACACTGGGACAAACAGTGAAACTGGGACTATCTGAGTGGGGAATGCAGATCATATTAGTGTCCTTTTCTCTGTTACGGTGTTCTGTAGTTTACAAAACACCACTTTTAGGAAACAGGGCAACTTATACATAATGTCTTTGTGTAATATTCATTCTTGCAACTCTGCAAATTTATAATTTTAGAAGGAAAATTTTAAAAGATGAATGAATGAATGAATGAATGAATGGCTTAGGTTAAGGTATCTAAAGTTCTTTCCCTAACTCAGAGGAAAGTCTCTCAGGGAGATGGTTGAATATAACCATCTATAAAGAAACATGTTGCTTTGCTGCTGTGTGTCACCAGCAAAAATTGCTTCCTGCATCAATCATGCAAGAGATAGTGCTCAGTGCTTTGTTCCAGTTTTTATTATTTGTCCAGTCTAGAAAATAGTCATTTCAGTACTAGTTCCCCTAATCCAAACAAAGCAAATGTTAAATAGAAAAGGAAAAAATGGATCTGTGGAGAATACAGTTAGGCTGTCAGAGGATTAGGGTACTACTGTGTTTCTTCTGGTTGTAGTTGTGCCAAATTATGTGCATTGCTCTAACCTTGTTAGCCTGTCATTGACATGACTTATCAAATGGGTAGATGAGTTGACATTAATCTTTCTAACTAGCTGATTTAATTTTTTGATTACCTTGTTGACACACCATTACAAAGCTCATGATACATTAATTCATCTTTATCTGGTTTCTAGAATATCTCCACATATCGTTCCCTAAAGCCCAAACACTGGATGTAATGGAAGTAAAATCCATGTAACACAGCATTGCTAGGAGATGGAGGGTAATGCACTGTTGATAAGTAGCAAAGTGGACTGAAGTTCAAACAGACTTTCTGTTGCTGCTGCTAGCCTGTGTGTCTGAAGCATATATGTGGGATGTGTGAGAAACAAAAATATAAAGAGGAGAAGCACACTCAGAAGTACCCATGCCCAGTGAGTGAGCATAGACTGGAGCCTGATAATCTATGTAGGGAAGGAGTTTTATAGTGATCAAGATTAGGAATAGCAGCCTTGGAAGTGAATAAAAAAGACTAGTGCTTCAGGATCAGCAGGGAGAAGTAAACCAAAAAAAAAAAAAAACAAAAACAAAAACAAAAAAGAAAGAAAGAAAAGGAAGAAGCTGCCTACAAAAATGAAAGGAGACCATTCTCTCCCTTGTATGTATCCAAGAAACTGATCTTTACTAAACTGATAAGGAATGTATGCTCAAAGTAGACAGTGCTGTACGCAAAGAATCAGGAAGATCAGATTTTGGATTCTCTTGTCATAAAGACATCAGTATTTTATAGTGTCTGTTCTCTTCCCTCCCCTCTTGTCTAATACTGATGAGCTCAGGATGCCTGATGCTCTCTATCGAGAATTATTCCACACGCAACCCAGTACAAGCTGAGGGAAGAAATGCCAGTAGGGCAAACCATAACAGTTCTTAAACCAGCAACAGAGAGCCTGGGACCTCCACTGTCAGGAAAACTGAATTCATTAAATTAAAAAAGTAAAGTATCAGAAATGAACACTAGATTGAAATGGTCAAGAAAAGATGAAGTTCTTTGGGCAATCAAAAATGAGAGATAAAGATGTGAAAAAGATTGTTGGCGAAGCAATTAGAACTGTGGGAAGGTGTTCCAGTATCAGAATGCGAAGAAAAACATGCCCCAAACTGACAACTAAATTACAAGCCAGGAAAACGTTCAGGGAATAAGAACAAGGGCGAGTCTCCGAGTCTCCCTTTGAAGTATTTCGTGTAAATCAGAAAAGTATTTTAATAAATCCTGAAACTTCAGAAGGATAAGTTGTGCTGTTCTCATTCCTCCAAAAAATAGATGGTGGTGGCAGAGTAACAATCTCAAGAAACTTAAGCAGTGGTACAAGCCAATGTTTTATATCCAAGCCAGTCACAGCAGTGAAAAGACAAGGTTGAACAGTCAGGTCCATTGGATACCTTGTTCATGAACAGAGTCTAGTCAAACCACAAGACAGCATAAAACAAAGTGGGAGTGTGGGGTGAACAGGGGCATGATGTGTTACTTGTGTTAAAGTACAGAGAATACCCACTTATGACTAAGGAAAGAGAGGGCCAGAGTAAGATCACAGGCTGTTGTGATAGGGAGTAACAGCTGAAGGAAGTAATAAACACACATGGCATCTGTATAGTAGTGATCAAGATACTACTTGATCATGTAGTAGTGATCATGATGAGCACGTCAGTCATGCCAAACGTGGATTCAGATAGGCATGTGTTACCTGTTGAAGATTTGTAAGATAGTCAAAAGACTGCTAATGAATGCTCAAACCAGAGTTAGTAGGTTGATAAGGCCTGAGATTTTAGCATGTTCTGCATGAATCTTCCTACAGATTGCTTGTGAGCCTCAAGGGAAAGGTACAAACTCTGTAGTGGACAAATGGACAACATCTTGACTAAGCAGTTAAGAACTGCACAAACCCTATTGTGACCAGGATGCCCTTAGAAGGTCTCACCATTACTTAGTAATCTAGCAAGTGATGTGGAAAGTGATTCTGAGTCTAGAGAACACCAAACAGGCCAGGCTGCAGATGGCTAGTGTCTGATCTTAACACACAGCCTAGTATATCCTGTGAATCGGAACTGCCAAAAGTACTTTATCAGTATTAAATTTCCCTAAGTTTGATAGCTATACTTTTTATGTACAAGATCCCCACTCAAGTACTAAGATGTAAAATATACTGTATGAACTTAAACTTATGGTTTTGTAAAAGTGCATAATACTAGAGATAAGGAAAACAGTTTTTTAAAAAAATGAGTTTAAATTTATTTTATAAAAACATCTGGTGAAACAGATGTGTTAGAGCATGCCTTTAATCCCAACACTTAGGCATCAGAGGCCAGCTCAGGCTGTATAAGTTCCCAAACAGCCAGAGCTACATAATAAAAATTCTGTCTTAAAAAAAGAAAAAAAAAAACAACTCTGTATGAACTGTCAGACAGAGACCAAGACACAGTTTAATATTTTCTAAGTGTATTCTTGCCTGTGATTGCCAGTGAAACATTTGGTTGCGCATTAAAAACAATCTTGCTACGGTTTCTCCCTTCTTGGTGCTTCCTTGTGAGATGAGAAAGAGTAGGAGATAGGATGAGTTGACAAACACTTGATTATCTTGTCAGTCTCTTATTTTGTCCCAGAGTAAGCTTTGTCAAACGGTAAACGGAGCTGTGAGCCTCACCATTTTACAGTTAAGTTCATTTAGCAAGTTTGAGCATCTTTATCTTTTGGGGAACAATGTGTTCTGTTTCAACAGATAAACAACTGAAGATGCTTTGCCTTAGTGATTCTGTATCCTTTCCTTGGCATGTGATGTGTTGTCAGTACATAGTAGCTTAGAGCAGAACTACTTTTCTTGTGTAAAAAAGATAACCATCAGGAGCTGGAGAGATGGCTCCGAGGTTAAGAGCACTGACTGCTCTTCCAAAGGTCTTGAGTTCAATTCCCAGCAACCACATGGTGGCTCACAACCATCTGTATTGAGATCTGGTGCCCTCTTCTGGCCTGCAGGCATACATGGAGGCTGAATACTGTGTACGTAATAAATAAATAAATCTTTAAAAAAAAAAAAGATACCATCAGATGAAACTTGAGACCATACATCCATCTTAGTTTGTTGTATTGAGTATTGTTTTAATTTGAAGTGCTAGTGATTAAAGTTTTAATATCCACTGGCTTTTGTCTCTGTTAAGTTACTTGCTGTTGTCTTAAGACTGCATTAAGAAGAAGAGCATATGGCTCTCTTGTGTGAAAGTCCAGGAGCCTGCATGCCTTTGACGGCAAGAGCAATACCACATGGCAGTCAGAGGGTTTTCGTTGATGTGACTGTCGTGATTAAGGGTGACTATTTGAGTTTTAAAGATGGATCATGTGAGGACAGTTGTAAGTGCCTGTAAAGATGGATCATGTGAGGACAGTTGTAGGTGCTTGTAAAGATGGGTCATGTGAGGACAGTTGTAAGTGCCTGTAAAGAAAGTTGAGCTGATGAAACAGAAGTCTCTAAGATGCATGCAAGTACTTCCTAAAGATCAGGACTTTACTTTCTATATCATTTAGTTACACATGACAATGTAAAAGTAAGAAATTAGGTATGCGATACTGACCAAAGCAATTTTTATGAAGACTGAAGTAAAATAATTTTAAAATAACTTTTAATTATAATATTTTGCTGTTAATTTTAGGATTAGTTTTTAACCATTCCATTCATAAGAGTTTTGGTGATTTCAGTGTTTCTTATTTAAGACTTTGCTATTAAATAGTATTTTAGGTAATTATAAGACAATTCCTTTTTTTCTAACCAGGAAGAAGCTCTGCATGCATTTATTCAGCCAGAGATCTTGGATGGCCCAAATCAATATTTTTGTGAACGTTGTAAGAAGAAGTGTGATGCTCGCAAGGTAAGAGGCATATAAATATTATGTAATTGTCTGAGATAACAGTATTCAATCCATTTGTACCCCTAACCACACATACTTCTTTTTAGGGCCTTCGGTTTTTGCATTTCCCCTATCTGTTGACCTTACAATTGAAAAGATTTGATTTTGATTATACAACCATGCATAGAATTAAACTGAATGATCGAATGTCATTTCCGGAGGAGCTGGATATGAGCACATTTATTGATATTGAAGATGAGGTAAGTACTTACTACATTTTCTTGTTGTACTTTTCATTAAACTCTTTTCGTTTTAATTGTTTTAAATTGCTTTATGAATATGAGTGTTTTGCCTGGAGGTATGTTTGTGTGTCACGTGTGTGTCTAGTGCCCTCATGAGCCAGAAGATTGTATTGTAACCTTGATACTAGATTAGAGACAGTTGGGAGTCACTGTGTGGAGGCTGGATATCAAACTGGTGTCATCTGGGAAGGCAGCCAGTAATCTTACCCTAACTGAGCTATCTATCCAGCCCCACTTTATAAGTTAAAACTGATGAATTTGAAGTGTTCTCTTAACAGCTTTCTCTTTCCTCATGTTCTTCATGGTGCATTAGATGAGAAGACTATTGCTGAGGATAAAAATCTTTTCCTGACAGTGTGCATTACATTTCAGATGTTCTTATTTGGTTGGAATAGTGTAAGCTCTTCAAGAGACAAAGGGCTTTCACCTTTGGAATTCAAGATTGTCTCTTGAATTTAGGTAGTAATGTTGTTTCATAATTTCTTCATTACTGAAACTGCTGTAGCTGGATTTCTAATGTTCACTACACATGGAGCACATGTATGTGAGTGAATGAACAAAGTAGTCCATGACCTCAGTGTCTTGTATTTGTGCTAATCCCCTTTACAGGAATTAAGGGACTTGGTTACTCCAATGGAAGGTTTGCTAGCTCTTACATTTACTAAGTTAGAAAGACAGACATACAGGAGGTTTTTGTCTAGATCCCTTTTTAAATTTGTATTTTGTTTAACTTGAAACTTTAAATAGTTTGAACATTGAATTTTGATGGAAACAGGACAGACTCGTTAATTTCTTTCTACTCATTGACCTCCCAGGGTTTTCTAACTTTATTTAATTAAAAAAAAAATGTGTGCTATCCTGTTTGATTCTTTATGATATTCTCCTGATCACATTGTATGACGCATTATAGACAGGAAGGGTAGTTGTTATAGGATGATAAACCCTTACTACTCCTAAGAGTTTTGTGTGCTTGTTTGTTTTTCTGATTACCAGTTGTAAAATCTGTCTTCTTCTAGGAGCTCAAAATTAATTATAAATAGTTGTCGAGTTACTGTTACTGTGATGAAACACCAAAAGCAAGTTTGGATGGAAAGGGCTTATTTGACTTATGCTTCATCATCACGGTTCATCACTGAAGTCAGGACAGGAACCTGGAGGCAGGAGCTGATGCAGAGACCATGGAGGAGTGCTGCTTACTGGCTTACTTCCCATGGCTTGTTCAGCCTTCTTTGTTAAGAACCCAGGACCACCAGTCTACAAGTGATCCCATTCATAATGGTTCTGCCCTTCTACATCAATCACTAATTAAGAAAATGCCCAACTGGGGGCTGGAGAGATGACTCAGTGGTAAGAGCATTCACTGCTCTAACAGAGGACCCGGATTCAATTCCCAGCACCCACATGGCAGCTAACAACTTTCTGTAACTCCAAGTCTGACACACCCGCACACAGACATATATGCCTGCAAATAAAAAAAAATTGCAAATAAAATAAAAATAAATTACTAGAAAAGAAAGACAATGCCCTACAAGTTTATATGTAGCTTTTCTTACAGAGGCATTTTTTCAATTGAGGTTCCTACCTCTCAAATAACTGTAGTATGTGTCAAGTTGACATAAAACTACCCAGTATAATATTTGTGTGAGTGTGTTGAAAGCAGTGAGTTCATTTAGCAAGAACACAGACTTTTTTCTGCATTCATCTGTGTTGGGTTTAGAGGTATACACCGTCATACTCAGCTTGCAGTTGTATAGGGTGATGTTCACCTTTATTTTATCTTGAATTAAATTTCCTTGAAGTAGGAAAACTACTGCACACTAGATGCTTACTTAAAAAAAGCTACTAACAACAACAAAAATTATTCTTGCTGCATATTACTTGGTTTCAAGAACTTAAATGCAGTGTCTTATGCACATCAAGGGCATTTATCCTAAAGAAATCTTAACCTATGTCAATAAAAACATGGTAGGTATGTGTATGAAATGTTAAAAGGAAGGAGAGGAGAATGTTGCTTTGGTTTCTAACAAGTAGATTTCTTCAGTTTAAGTCTGGATGACTGAATTGAAAGTAGCCAAGCATGGAAGCATGATGTCCCTACCCTGAGTACACCAGACTATAAAGTTCTCATGGACAGATAGATGGCTTACTTCTCTTTCTATTTTGACACCTTACACAGTAATTAAAGATAGCATTTTGTTGGGATTGGGAGCAGAAGATGTAATTTGGAGCTTAGGATAGTTGCTGTCACAAGTGCTATTGCAGAAAATGGTAAATTTTGTACCTAAGATCTGAGTTTAAGAGGAAACAGTCTTAAAATAAATACTTCTCTTAATCAAAACAATGTCAAACTATTTGAACATGGTAGAAGATTTAGGTGAAAGTTTGAATGTCTTTTCCTTTATTTGGCATAGATTTTAAGATAATTGTGTCTTATTAGAAATCTCCTCAAACTGAAAGTTGTACTGATAGTGGAGCAGAAAATGAAGGCAGCTGCCACAGCGACCAGATGAGCAATGATTTCTCCACTGATGATGCTGTTGATGAAGGGATATGCCTGGAGAGCAGTAGTGGGACAGAGAAGATTTCGAAACCTGGCCTGGAAAAGGTATCTTTTATGAAGTTTATTGGTATTAGATGCTGAGCATGCTAGGCAAGTAGTCCACCAGAGAACTATGCCCCAGTTCCCTGCATGTTTTAATTAGAGAATTTAGTGATTTCTGAACTTCTGTATTAATTTGTTCTTCATTTTTTAAAATGAACACTTTTTAAAAATGTTTTTGTGGTGGGTGTGATTATAATTGTATTTACACTTGAGATGCTCATTCCTAGGAAACTGTACTGTGTTGAAAGTTATGTTGTGTTAGAATGGGTGCTGCCTCTGCTTTTGGCATTTATCAGATCTCCAAATCCTTTCTCGTCACTGAGTTTGCTCATAGAAAAAAATGAGGATGTTGGACTTTATTTATTACATTTTAAGAATTCTGACAGTAGTGCATTTCCGAAATAGTTAATAACCATAGTTACCTAGAACTTGCAATCTCAGAATTTTCTAGAAACATAATGGGGAGGGGTTGCTAATTACAATCAAACTTTAAAATGTTACTACTAACCAGTAGATAGGTACCTGGAATCGCAGCAGCACTTAAGTAGCAGAGGCAGCAGGATCTCTTTGAGTAACACATTCCAACCAGCAGGGGCTACAGAGTGAACCCTGTATTAAAGAAATAATTTTCTCAGCACAGATTCTAGATTGCAGGTAAATTTTGAAACCTACCTGTTAATTATCTTGATTTATTTTAGTTTGGGCAATAAAATTTGAACTACACAAGTTTTTAGAATTTGTTCTAGAAGTTTCACTATGTAATAATTCTAGTCAGTTTACTATTGTTTAAGACACACTTCAATGTGCTGAAACTTGATTTTGGAAGGTCTGGGTACTTTTTAAGCAAAGAATAAAGAGGAGAGGACAATGGAAGTATGCTTACTTAGCTTTCCCGAGGCCCTGATTTCTTCCCTAGTGCTGCGAAATGGAACAAAGAGGAGAGCTCTCCAGAAAAGTGAATGAGCTCCTCTAATCCCCAAATATAGGATAAAAGGCAGAGAATTGGCTGCAGGTTTGAATCTAACATTGTCTAAGACAGCTTGTTCCAGTCCAGAAAGAGGTGCAAATTAAGACCCTCTCTCAAAACAAACTTTAATAAAAACCTTGTTTTACCCATTTGAAGAATCTACTTAGGATAAACAGTCTTTTTTTTTATCATAACCTTTCCTGGAGACTCTATTTTTCTTTTCTAAATTATTTTATTTTATGTGTATGGGTGTTTTGCCTGAATGTCTGTACACCATTTGTGTACCTGGTACCCTCGGAGGCTAGAAGAGGTAGAGTTGCAGATGATTGTGAATGCTGGGAATTGAACCTGGGTCCTCTGGAAAAGCAGCCAGTGCTCTTAACCCCTGAGCCATCTCTCCAGCCTTGGGAACTCTATTTTTATTCACTCCAGGTAGAGATGGCGATGACAGACCAGAGAAAGGGTTCCTTCCAAGTCCAGCTTGGTGAACCAGTGAGTTTATTGGACTTCTTTAATGGAGCATGATGACTCTTAGGCAGCTCTATCACCAAAAAGCCCACTCCAAGCATGGGTAACTACTTAAGAGTCTCCCTTTGAAGCACCTTGTTACTACTGCCTATATAACCTGAGCCTCTGAGTTGATAAAAATCCTTGTGTTTTTAGGTGGTTGTGGAGTTCTTAAGACTATATATATATCTTTAAATATATGTATGTATGTGTACCATATGCATACTTGGTACCTGTGGAGCCCAGAAAAAAGTGGTTGTGAGCTACAATGCAGGTGCAGAAAACCAAACCTAGATCCTCTGCAAGAGCAGCAATTGCTCTTTAACCTCTGAACTGTCTCTCCGACTCCCTTGTGAATTTCATATAAGTCTTCTGTGCTGTTATATCTTCCTCTCTATCATGTTTGGGTTTTTTTGGTTCTTTTGTTTGTTTGGTTGGTTGATTTAGTTTTTCGAGACAGGGTTTCTTTGTTTACAAAAAGTCCTGGCTGTCTTGTAACTCACTTAGTAAACCAGGTTGACCTTGAACACACAGAGATCCTCCTGCCCAACTTATTTGGGGTTTTTGAAGTAAATAGTCTTACTTTGTAGTTCAGACTGGCCCTAAACTCACTATGTAGCCCAGAGTGGCCTTGAATTCACAGCTGTTGTCCTTTAGCCTCTCAAGGGCTAAGATTATAAGCTTGAACTACTGTGTCTGGCTGCTTCTTGTTGTTTTTGGGGAAGAAAATACTGGTAGCCAGGATCTCTAGTAGTGCTCATTGTTTTAGGGGTGTGACGTGCTAAGGCTTCTAAAAGAAAGTGTAATTCATGCTAGTGTCCTGGCACATGGTATATATGTCCTGGCACTTGGAATGCTGGTCTAAGAGAGTCATAAGTTTGAGGCCTACCCCAGGCAACGTAATAGGTTCAAAACCACCTGGGCAATCTCAAAATGAAAAATAACAAAGAAAAGCAGACATATAGCCAGGTACTGGAGCACTTGCCTACCATCTGTGAGTTCACTCTCCACTCCTAACAAAAGACCAAAGAAAAAGCTAGACAAAGGTTCTTAGTTTATTATAGACAACATCAGGCATGTTTAAGAGTTGAAAGGCCATAAGCTGAGTTATTACAGAAATAGCACGATTCTGTGTGTGTGTGTGTGTGTGTGTGTGTGTGTGTGTGTGTGTGTTTTGAGACAATGTCTCTTCTATGGATCCATGAATGTCCTAAAACTTACTATGTGACCAAACTGGCCTTAAACTCAGAGTTCTTTCTGCCTCTGCCTCCCAGGTGCAGTAATTTAAAATATAAGCTAACCATTCCTGGCTTGGATTCATTATTATTATAAATAATAAATACCACATTAATATGTTATTTATTAAAAATACTGCATGAGTACATTAGAAGATACTTCAAGTTACTGTCAGAAATGAAATTTTATTTAAAGACAAAAAAGCAATGTTGGTAATTTCTTGATCTTGACTATGCAAATTAGAAACCCTTTTATTTAGTAGGTACTTCACAAAATTTCAGACTCTTATTTTTTCATAAATAATAAAGCATGTGCTACAGATATATATAGTTCCAAAGATTACAAGACAGCATAATAACAATGTAAAGAAATATGCTGAATGAAACCTGTTGCATACTAAGTTTTTTGGTGACTTGCTGTTTTAATGTTATCTAAGGGACAAGTCAGCTTACCGTAGGATAGTTGCCATGTTATTTAATTCTGCTCCCCTAGGAAATAAGGGGTTTCAAATAAGGGTTTTGTAGTCTTCTCTTCCAAATTCTTTTTCTTCTCTCCTTAGAACTCCCTGATGTATGAGCTTTTCTCAGTGATGGTGCATTCGGGGAGTGCTGCTGGAGGTCACTACTATGCTTGCATAAAGTCCTTCAGTGATGAGCAGTGGTACAGTTTCAATGACCAGCATGTGAGCAGGGTAAGGCTCCTGGAGTGGAGAAGTTACTCAGCGGCAGGGTGTTTATTCAGAGCAGAGACGCCTATGGTGTTTCTCAGGTCCCCGTCAAACCAGGGTTTCATTGTTAACAGTGTCCTTGTTCTGCTTTTTTAGAATTTGTTAGATGTTTCCAATTTATATTACACCTTTACTCTAACCCTCACCCTTGTTATGTACACCTTGTGAGTGATGTAGGAGTAGGATTCCTTGAGGCTGGCTCACCAGAGCAGCCACTGGTAAACTGAATTATCTGTATTGTGCTTCTTGAAAATATCATGACACATCTAATTCAGAAATTAAAAGGTTGGGTTAGAATTGGGCTTGATGTTTCACCAGTAGTTTCTAGCATTGAGGAGGCTGAGATAGGATTGCCCAGAGTTCAAGCCCAGGCCAGGCTACAGATTAAGGACCTGTCTAAAGAAGGGGGGAAAAAAAAAGACCTAGAATATTGGGTTACATATTTACATGTTGACATTAATGTAATGGTGTCATTGGTTTTTACAAAAGAGTAATGTTACAACTTTTTAGATAACACAAGAGGATATTAAGAAGACACATGGTGGGTCTTCCGGAAGCAGAGGCTACTACTCTAGCGCTTTTGCAAGGTAAGCAGTAGCATCTTGATGCACTGGAGTGAGTTGTAACTTCTCTGTGGATGTTCAGCCTTACCCAAGGGTCAGCAGACTACAAACCATGGGCATCTGTTCATAAGTGCTGGCTGCTGCGTTCCCACTATAACAGCTGAGTTGTAACACAGACCATTTAGTCTATAAAGACTTAAGTTTTTTTTCCCTTGGCTCTTTCTAGCAAAGCAGTTTGCTAGACTTAGCTATAGTAGGCACTGTGGTGCACAGCCTTCTTGATAACTTCACTGTGTTACTAAAAGGTGATGCTTTAACCTTTTCATAAGTGCACCATTAACAGCAATGAGGAATTTTTCTTTCTTTCTAGAATATTTTAATTTTAATGTGTCAATTACTATTTGAAAGAATAAAACACTAATATTTCAAATAAAGATTTGATACTTATAAATGGAATCTACCATCTATCTGAAGAACCTGTTAATCTTTTTTATATTTCTCCTAGCTCAACAAATGCATATATGCTGATATACAGACTGAAGGATCCAACAAGAAATGCAAGTATGTTAGCCCCTCATAAAGTTATTTCCTTAGCATATCTTGCAAACCAATATAACTACTTTTAGGTGATAGAGCAATTAACAGCTAGGACTTTTTATACGTGGGAGAGGGGAATTATTAACACTGTTACAAAATAATTTTAAGTGATAAAAACATTTGTCAAGAATGTTATGTAGAGCTGAGCACAGTGATGTGTGCTTGGACTCCAGTCACTTGGTAGGCTGAGTGAGACAGGGGGATTACAAGTCTGGGTCTACTGACAATTTAACAGGAACTTGTTGGCTGAGATTTCTGTTTCCACCTGGTCCTGCAGTCATTCAGTCCCAAAGAAACACACAGAGGTCTACATTAATTATAAACTGATTGGCCTATTAGCTCAGGCTTTTTATTAACTCATAACTTGTATTAGCCCATAATTCTTATCTGTGTTAACCACATGACTGATAACCTTTTTTGGCGAGGCAATCATATCTTGCTTCCTCTGTGTCTGGGTGATAGCTGCAGACTGACTTTTTCCTCTTCCCAGAATTCTGTTCTCGTCATCCCGCCTCTACTTCCTGCCTGGCTACTGGCCAGTCAGCATTTTATTAAAATAATACAAGTGACAGGATAAAAAACCATTGTCCCACAGCTCATAGTAGTAGTTTTAAAGGAGCTGAGTGGTAGATTCCTGATGAGCATTTACAAGTCTGATAAGGAGCACTATACACATGGACGCACACAAGCAGGCTTGCACTCACACAAGCACACCCACACACAAGTTGGAATACTTTGTTTTCCATAAAGTATACTTTATGTTTGTTAAGTGAATTAGATGTGTACTTTAAGTAAGATTGTGTTCTGTGTGATGCTCACAGGTCACCGACTGCATGTCTTAGAGCAAATCACTTTTCTGAGTCTTTGCAGATGTGTAGACTGGAAATGATGACACCTTATAGAGTTGTTACACATGAATGAAACAGCACTTTAGAGTCTTGCAGCATACCTAGTGAAAGTTCAGATTAGCTACCGTTTGTTTCAATTTCAAGCTTTTTGGGTTTGTTACTATTTGCATTGTATGACAGAGGACTCTGAATAGCCTGAAATACTTCAGAAATCTTTTAATATAGAGAATTAAGTACCTCTTTATTTGATTAAAGATCAAATAAATTTTTGTGAGTCTAGTACAAATCCTTTAATTTTATTAAGAATCCCAGGAGACCAACAGGATATCTCACCTGGTAAAAGACACTTGCTGTCAAGCCTGATGGCCTGATTTCAGTGCCAAAACCTTCAGAGTTGCCCTCTGACCTTCCGAGAATAATCTTGAGTATAAAGTGTGTTTATCCTTTTTACTTATATTTTTGATTTTTGTTACTTTAAAAGCGTTCGATCTTAGGGTTTCTTTTTTTCTTGCTAATTCACAGGGTTGGAAGCATGTTAGGGTTGTGTATGTTTGACTAGAGATACACACACAAATGATGAGTCTACTCATATTTTCATAATTTAAAAAGTAATCACTAGCTTTTATGTCAGTATTGAGTTTTACGAGCTAGTATGCTCTTAATATATCTTTTCAATTATATTTTTTGTTCACATTTTTGTGAACAAAAGTTAGTTTGTGGACTCATTCAGTACAAGGTTTAGAGTGTAGTCATCATTTCAACAAATGTTAATTTCAAGACCTGTAGATTCACTGGAGGCAAAACCAGGATTGTAATCCATGTATACTGTATGCCTTGCTGTAGATAGTGCAGTGTTCCAGCCTTTGGCTAACTCCCCACACTAGCTCTATGGTAAATGCTGGTGGCAGGGGCGGGGGCACTGTATCATCTAGTTGGGAATGCTTTTTAGCTAGTTTATTGCAGGAAGGTGTCCTGTACAGCCATCGAGGGAAGATTTGTTTTGTTTTTGTTTAGGCTAGAGCTAATTTCTGGAAACATTGTATTTTTACAGGTCCTATTGATATTCATTGTTCTCCTTAAAGTCACACATTCATTGACTTTAGGGCTGTTTGAGAGGGAAGTGAAGGTAGTAATGCTATCAGTATGTAGTAACAATCACACATAGCAGCAGTTCCTTTCACTCATTTGCATTATATTCTAGGCAATAACTTTTGGGCCAGGCGCTTTAGTAAGCTGGAGTCACAGTCTGGAGAAGTAAAGTTGCCCACTGCCAGAGGGTTCCATTGTGATTGCACAATTTGAAATTTAAAAAAAAAAAAAATGATTTTAAGTTTCCAAGGCTTTTTTAAATTTTGAAATCTCATTGAATTCTCCTAGTGTTTGAACCATTTACTAGGTCTGAATATGATTTCACAATCAATATCTCTTCACTGTTGCCTGGAAGAAGCTTCTGTTTCACACTGAAATAAGGATACATGTTTCCATGGCAGCGTAGTACAACAAAAAGAGTACAAGAAGCTGCTCTGAGTGACACTATTTTGTGTTCCTAGAATTTCTAGAAGTGGATGAATACCCAGAACACATTAAGAACCTGGTGCAGAAGGAGAGAGAATTGGAAGAACAGGAAAAGAGACAACGAGAAATTGAACGCAACACATGCAAGGTTTGATTCCATGATTGTGATTTGTAAAAGGAACAGCGGACTGTGTTCCCACTTGGATCCCGGCTAACTTACCCCGAAATAATTACAGAGAAACTATTCATTTAAACACTGCCTGGCCCATTGTCTTCAGCCCCTTATTAGCCAACTCTCACATATTAATTAACCCATTTCTAATAATTTATGTATAACCATGAGGTCGTGGCTTACCAGGAAGATTCTAACCCACCTCCATCTCTGAGAGGAGAGCCATGGCGTCTGCCTCATTGCCTTCTTCCCAGCATTCTGTTCTGTCTACTTCACCCACCTATGTTCTGACCTATCAGGCCAAGCAGTTTCTTTATTAATTAACCAATGAAAGCAGCAAATAGAAATAAGACCCACTTACATCAGTGATTGACAAGTGCTGTTGTGGTTTGCTCTTCTGACTGCTGTCATTGTTATGGTAACCCGGAGTTGGTTCTGCAGACAGTTCTGCCCTTGTGGTCAGATGGGCACAAGGATGAGCATAATCCGGTACTGAAGCATGGTGATGTGTGGCATGGTGCTCAGTGCTCATGTGACTTTGTGAGGCGAGCATTCCCATGTTCTGAAGAAGGAAGGACTGGGAAATGCACAGAATGAAGGTCATCCTTCAGTTACTCTCCCACTGCCCTCTCTGTTCTCCCTTTAAAATCCTTAAACAGACAGGAGGTGGTGGCCCACTCCTTTAATCCCCACACTTGGGAGGCAGAAGCCAGCCTATTCTACAGAGTGAATTCCACTACAGCCAGGGCTACACAGAGAAACCTTGTCTTTAAAAAGAAAGAAAGAAAGGAAGGAAGGAAGGAAGGAAGGAAGGAAGGAAGGAAGAAAGAAAAAATAGTCCCAACTCTGTTTTTGTTCTTTAATTACATTGTTTTGACAATGAAGAAAAGTGCTTTCTTCTGTCTGATGTGATGGGACAGACCTTTGATGAGCGCTCAGGAGGCAGAAGCAAAGGCAGGTGGATCTCTGAGTTTGAGGCCAGCCTGATCTACAGCACAAGTTCCAGGACAGCCAGGGCTTTGGAACCCTATCTCAAAAAACAAAACAAACAAACAAAAAGGTGCTGACTGCCAAAGAGTTGAGTTGTGATGATTGACCTAGTGAGCTGATGATGGCATTTTCTGTTTTGTAGATAAAATTGTTCTGTTTACATCCTGTGAAACAAGTAATGATGGAAAATAAGTTGGAGGTTCATAAAGATAAAACATTAAAGGAAGCAGTAGAAATGGCTTATAAGGTATGTCTAATGCACAGTTGGATTTTAATTTTGATAACACCCAAATTTTATAGTTGAGATAGATGATCAATTACTTTGAATGCATTTGACAGCTTCTCAGTCGTCATTCTACTCCACCCTCACCCCCACGCCATCTACCAGCATCTCCATCTGAATACCAGTTAACCTTTCTGAATCCCAGAATTAGAATTAGAGACACTTTTTTTCTTTTTTGCTTTCTGTTTATTTAGCAGATATCTATTGAGTGCCTTCTGTATGAACCACTAAGATATCAGGGGGAAGACATGGTCTTGGCCTCATGGAATTTATAATTCAGTGGGAAAAAAAATTTTTCTTGATGATTGGCAATTATTTTGTTTAGATGTCACAAAGTCAGTCAGTAGTATATTGAGATAATTTATCCTGCCATAGTAACCATAAGGACACAGCTGTGTCATTATATAGTTTGTGTTATTTCAGGAATAATGAAAGGTGACCATTAAACATATTAAAGTTAGGCATGGATGCTCACACCATTTAATCTCAGTATTTGTGAGGTGGAGGCAACAAGATCAAGTGTTCAGAGGCATCCACTTTCACGTAGTGGATTCAGGGTCAGCCTGGGTTACATGTGGCTCTTTCTCAAATAAACATATCTGTTACTCTGATAAAAATCCTAAGTATACAGATATTATTGTCTGTAAGGATCTCTTGGTAGGATTGCGGCACATGAGAATAAAGCACTCTGTTTTTACTTATGGGGATTGTGTTTTGTTAGATGATGGATTTAGAAGAGGTGATTCCACTGGACTGCTGCCGCCTGGTAAAATACGATGAGTTTCATGATTACCTAGAGCGATCATATGAGGGAGAAGAAGATACACCGATGGGTCTGCTCCTAGGAGGAGTCAAGTCCACATACATGTTTGATCTGCTGTTGGAAACTAGAAAGCCTGATCAAGTTTTCCAGTCTTACAAACCTGGAGGTAGGCAATTTTATACTCTTGAGCTAAAATGGGCTTTAAATGACTGTGATCAAATGTTTTGTTTATAGAAGTAAATGATTTAAAAATTTTTATGTGTTCCTAAAGTATACATAATTTTGACAAGTTGAGAAGTAATCAGTGTTTGGTTGGAAGCAGCACCCCAGCCGCCTGGGACCCCTATATCCAAAGAGTCTGGAATGTTTGGTTGGAAGCATCACCCCAGCCGCCCCCCCCCCCCATATCCAAAGAGTCTGGGATGTTTGGCCCACCCCTGGCATCCATTCTAAAATGTTTGAGTGGAGCTTTCCACTCCAGGCCTCCCCACGCTAGGAGTTGCCACAGCCCAGACTCCACCTCCCGAAAAAGCCCACCAAAGGGTGACCCCTCCCCAGGAAGGGTTAAGACCACTCCCACAGGCTATTTAAATTGCCCCCCCCAGAGAACAATCACATGGTCTTTCCAGCCTGCCCCACACACCCCCATGTTTTCCCAGAGCACTAGCATCCATTAAACCTGGGCTTTTTCTAATTTGGCTTGCTTTTGTCTGATCTGATCTGGATTATTGCGTTGGCGAAGAGGTTTGTTGGGCTATAAAAACTTTACAGTCAGCCATGAGTTTGAAGTTAAGTTTTAGCTTATGCTGGGCTTGCTGGGACATGCTGTGACTCCAACAGTGGGGAGGCTGAGATGGGCACATCTCAAGTTCAAGTGGGCACATTTGCTAGACCTTGTCTATGCATAGAATTTAAATATGAACAACAGCAACAAGAAAACACTCACTTCTTAGTCTTCAGTAGGGTTTCCTTCTTTAATGTGGAGTGCTAAATGGGTAGTGTCTGGATGATACGGAATGCCTGTAGTTATCAGCTCAACTCCTAAGGGTATCTCTGTCGACATCTTTCCCTCTTCTGCTCTTTCCCCACTTCCTCTCCTATTCGTTATGGAAGCCATACGCTGTAGCACGAATAAAAACCCAGAGACAGAAACTGGGGTTCAACCTGAAGGTCAGAGCAGCAAAAGCTGCCAGTCACTGGCTCTTCTCTCTACCTCAGTCCGAAATGGAGATCCTGCCTCCAGGAATCTCAGAATGAGACTCTGTGTGAGAGCTGTCTCTCCTGTCTTGTACTTCTTTCTAGGACTGGATTAAAGGCACCACTACTGTCTTGTTTCAATGACAAACTAGTGTGGCTACTAGGATTAAAGGTGTGTCACCATTGCTTGGTCTGTAAGGCTGATCAGTGGGGCTGTTTTACTCTGATCCTCAGGCAAGCTTTATTTATTAAAATATAAACGAAATGAAATATCACTACAATATGCTTCCTGGCTTTTTTTGTTTGGTTTGTTTGTTTACTTGTGGTATTTCAAGACAGAGTTTCTCTGTTTCCATCCCTAACTGTCCTGGAACTCATTCTGTAAACCAGGCTGGCCTCAGACTCATAGAGATCCATCTGCCTTTACCTCCCAAGTACTAGGATTAAAGGCGTGCGCCACTACTGCCCAGACGCTTCCTTGCTTTTATGGCTCTGCTGTCCAGTGTATATTTGTCATTTAAGTGAACAAAATAAGGGAAAAATTGAGAATTGACAGTAAAGAATTGACAGCTAAGTGTAGTTCTTGATGGCTATTTCTTTTTCACATGACTAAAATTTAGTTGTCAATATGATCTAAAAACAAAAGAGAAGCAGATATGCCAGACCAGTTTGTGCATAGAATTTTCCATGGGATTTGATGAAGCTTGTTTATAAGTAGTCAGGGTTTTATCTGCCCCATTAGTATTTATTCTGCAGTCTCTGCATCCATATATGCTTTCAGTGCTGTGGTTTTCTTTCCATTTGGATCTTTTTGCATTTGTATTTTACATTTGATCATAGGTAGAAGATCACGAATCAACCAGATTGTATTTTTAGTATGCTTAATAAATTTGAAAGTGGTATTATATTTTAAAAGGAAATAAAACATTTTTAAAATTATATTTGGATTTTTTGTGTTTAACACAATGCATCAGTCAAAAATAATGCTTTTTAATGAACATTAGATGAATGTAATATAAATCTATTATATTGGATATATGAGAGCATAGTCTCTTTGCCATCTGTTAGAAACATATTTAGAATGCGCTGCTCATGTAAAGTACAGTTTAACAAAATAACCTTCAGCTATGTTTTTATGTTTTCCAATGTAATAGAAGTGATGGTGAAAGTGCATGTTGTTGATCTGAAGGCGGAGTCTGTTGCTGCTCCTATAACAGTCCGCGCTTATTTAAATCAGACAGTTACAGAGTTTAAACAGCTGATCTCAAAGGTAAGTTATAAAATTAGACTTTGAATATTTTTGAATTCTTGCTGTGTATGGCTCACTGGTTGTTTCAAGTTGTAGGTTCTACTGTAAAGGGGCAATATTTATAGGCAGAACACAATTGAAAGTAGAAACACACTTCAGGTAGAAGAAACAAACTGAGCAACATTTGGCATGGCACAGTAGCACTGATCCAGACTATAGTTTGTGCTGGGTGAAACATATGGTAGGGGTATGAATTCAGTTTATGTCTTGGTTATGGTTTTTATTGCTGTAAAGAGACACCATGACCATGGAAACTTTTCTAAGGAAAGCATTTAACTGGGTGGCTAACAAGTTCAGAGTTTTAATTCATTATCATTAAGGTGGGACATGGTGGCATGCAAGTAGTCATGGGGCTGGAGAAGGAGCTGGGAGTTCTACATCTTATACAAGCAATAGGAAGTGGTCTGTCTCATTGGGCATGACTTGAGCATATATAAAACCTCAAAGCCCACCTCCACAGTGACACACTTTCTCCAACAAGACCACACCTACTACAACAAGGCCACCCGTCCTAATAATGCCATTCCCTTTGGGGGCCATTTTCTTTCAAACCACCAGTTTCACAGAAGTCTTTGAACACTAACTGGGCTCTCATTGGTACAGCAGTAAGTAGATCCTGTTTGCTATTTAAATGTTGTAGTGATGCATCAGATCTGTGCCACAGAGTGGAAGTCCAGTGACACTAAACTGAGGTTCAAGGCACATGAAGGCTGAGTTTGGGGTGGCACTGAGGAAGCTGTTCAGATCCTTCCGGTAAAGACATATGGTCAGGGCTAAGGGGCAGTAGAGTTTAAGAGTGGCTATGTAAGTGGACACTGCCAGAGGTGTAGCTGCTATGTTTCAAAGGAAGACAGAAACGCAGTGAGTTGTTTTTATTATTTTGTAGGCAGGGTGTCACTGTGTACTGGACAGGAACTCACTGTAAACCAGGCTGGTCTGGAACTCATAAATTATATCTTCCTGCCTCCATCTTCTGGGTGCTGAAATCAAAGGTGTGCAACAACACACCCAATTCTTAATGTTTTTTATTGCAGTTATTTATTTTGTGGTGTGTGTGTGTGTGTGTATTCAGGCTATGTGACAAGCAACTTTACCCACTGAGCCATCTCACTGCTGAATGAAAGGTAATGACATTAATAGCAGCAGTAAAGTGAGGAAGCATACTTGACAGCGATGGATTAAATAGTGGCTCAGAGCATGGCCTGTTCTGAGCTTGAGCAGGAATGAGATGATAAAAAAACATCTAGATCTCTTTGGGCAAGTGGACTGGACCATGTGTGACAAATGACGGTTCTCTTTCAAGGGTCCCATACTGTGTACCTTGAGCACACAAACAGATTTTTGCAGCCTTTCTAACTAAGTGAATGCAAGTTAAAAAATAAGTTTGAAGTACAGTTTTTAGCCATCTATCTTGCCTTATAGCTCAGTGTCTGGGGATTTACTAACCAGCAGTGTTGTGGTTATGAGGGATTTTGTCAGGTTTGGTGACTATCACTGTGTTTAAGCAGTAACAGCTAAGAGACTTTAGTCACTGATGGCAATTACATCAGAAGATAGATCATACTGTATTGTTCTGCCTGGTGGCTAGCTTGCTCACACATGCATGCCAGGTGATCATATGGCTCTATACATTTAAAGTGAGTGCCACCTGCAACGATTTTCAGTCCAATGCAAAATATAAGCCCTGAGGTTGGGTTTGAAAAAAAAAAAGACAATACTGTTTGTTAGCTAATAAGGTCATTGGGGGAAATGTTAAGTCTCCACTCAATAGTATCTATCCTAGACACTTCTTTTGGTGTCTGAGGGTTGGTGCTAGGTCCCTGCTCTCATCAGCTTTGTGGAACTTCTCAGTTTTCTCTTTGTGTCTAAAGCCAGCGAGAATTCCTTTGGGTAGCACACTCTGTAGTGACACTCTCGTTGCAGGCCTCACACTTACCTGCAGAACCCATGCGGATAGTGCTAGAACGCTGCTACAATGACCTACGCCTTCTCAGCGTGCCCAGCAAGACTCTGAAGGCCGAGGGCTTCTTTAGAAGTAACAAGGTATGCCATTACCTTTTCATTGTGTCGTCTGCTGGTAGCAAATGGAGTAAAGTTGAATATTTATTAAAAGGCTGTGCGCAACCAGCACTGTCACCATCTGTCTGTGCAAGAGTACCTTTCGGTGCACACAGCCTCCCCAAATTCTCTTCCTTTGTTACGCAATCAGGCTTCATTCTCTGCCTGACTCAGCCTTACTGCTGGTCCTTTTACTTGTACCCTGTGCCCTTCGCCTGGGAGCACTTTTTCCTGTTTCCCTGCCCTCTAGTTTTCAAGCTCTGGATTTGTCCTGTCCTCTGAGCTTTTGTAATGGAATCTCCCTCCTCTATGACGTCTTCCTGATTTCCATCCTGAATTCCCTGGTAAGGCAGTCCAGTCCTTCATACCAGGTTAGGGGTGTGCCTCGTGAGACTCTCCCACCCTTGTCACATCTCTGTTGGGGAGAAGACAAGCTGTTAAGCTTATTTTAGGACTTGCCACCTTCAGTGTGCCATTGTTACAGTGGCTTGCCCTGTGTCATGGTGCATCCAGACCTTTTCTTGTTCTGTTCATCATATTTGCTAGTCTTTCATCTTAGTACTTCTATACTTACCAAACTTAACCTTTTAAATATCATTTTATTACATATTTTCTTCGAATATGTATGTGTGGATATTAAAATGTAATTTGTGGGCCAGCAAGAGCACTCATCAGGTACAAGATGCCAAGGCTGACAACTTAAATTTGATCCCATGGATACATGGTAGAGAGAAAGAGAACTGACTACCTCACGTTTTTCTCCGAACTCTGCACATGTGCTGCACACTCATATACCATATGCACATACATGTGTGCACAACAAATTTTAAATATATTTTAATTTTTTTTAATATTTAAACTATAAAAATGCTAATTTAGGGGAAAGAGTGCCAGAGCAAACCTTTCTTCCCCATTTTTTCCCTTACACGGTTAAAAGTCTTAATATATAATAATTTATTAAATATCTTTTTATGCAAAACCCAACATACTGTTAATTATTGCCAATCCATGATTAATTTTTATTTTGTTTGGAGACAGGGTCTTATATTTGCCTTAACTGGCATTGAACTCACTACATAGACCAGACTAGCCTATGACAGTCATCCTGCCTCTGTCCTACAAGTACTAAAATTAGGTCTATGCTATCATGCCTGGTCAAACTTGTGTATAATGTCACAAATTCTACAACATACTGTGTCCTGACTTGTAGTGATATGATGTTCTTATGAAGAGTAAGAATGCCACTAACATTGTATGGAGTGTAACTCTCTCACTCACTGTTTAGGTGTTTGTTGAAAGCTCTGACACTCTGGATCACCAGGCAGCCTTCACGGACTCCCATTTGTGGAAACTTCTGGATCGGCATGCAAATACAATCCGATTATTTGTTTTGCTGCCTGAACAATCACCAGGTTCATATTCTAAAAGGACAGCATACCAGAAAGCCGGAGGCGATTCTAGTAATGTGGATGATGATTGTGAAAGAGTCAAAGGACCTGCAGGGAACTTAAAGTCTGTGGATGCTATTCTAGAAGAAAGCACTGAAAAACTCAAAAGCTTCTCACTGCAGCAGCAGCAGCAGGATGGAGACAATGGAGACAGCAGCAAAAGCACTGAGACAAGTGACTTTGAGAATATTGAATCCCCTCTCAATGAGAGGGGCTCTTCCACCTCTGTGGATAATCGAGAGCTCGAGCAGCACATTCAGACTTCAGACCCGGAAAACTTTCAGTCTGAAGAACGCTCAGACTCAGATGTTAATAATGACCGGAGTACAAGTTCAGTAGACAGTGACATTCTTAGCTCCAGTCACAGCAGTGACACTTTGTGTAACGCAGACAGCACTCAGATTCCTCTGGCCAATGGGCTGGATTCTCACAGTATCACAAGTAGTAGAAGAACTAAGGCAAACGAAGGAAAAAAGGAGACGTGGGACACAGCCGAAGAAGACTCTGGGACTGACAGTGAATATGATGAGAGCGGCAAGAGCAGGGGGGACATGCAGTACATGTACTTCAAAGCTGACCCCTACGCCGCAGACGAAGGCTCTGGAGAAGGACACAAATGTATGTACTTGAGAGGAAGGCTCTTTGAGATGGTACCAGTATGTTTCTCACTTAAATTTTAGTTAGGATTCCGTTGCTTAGTATTAAGACCACCTTACAGTAATTTCATGGGCTGTGAGATTATTTTCTTTCATTGCAGTACAATATTTAGACAGTAATTGTGTCAAGTTAAGCAGAAGAGTAATCAATATTAGGAAAGTCTGTGGTAAGCATGCCAAAGTTACTTTAAATGTAACATACACCCTCACCACTCAAAAAGCCAAATGCTGTAAAGATTTTATTTTTGTTTGAGAAGTGTATATATATATATACATATTAATGTCCTTTGATCAAATCCACCCCCTACTCCCTTTTCTCCAATTCATTCCCTATTCCCCTATTTCCACCACTTTTCCCTCCCATCTTCATGTGCTGTGTGTAAGCCCATTGAATCCACTTAATGCTGTCTGTATTTGCGTGGGTATAGGGCCATCCACTGGAGTGTAAGTAGCCATCCCTGAGGAAAACTCGATTCTTCTTTCTCTAGCAGACATCAGTTGCCAGAGGCTTCTCGACTAAGTTGGTACTGTGAGCCCTGCCCATCCGTGTTGAGAGTTTGGCTGTTTTGATTTCATGCAGCTCTTGCGCATGCAGTCCTAACCACTTCGAGTTCTTGTGTGCAGCAGCCTTGTCACATCTGGCAAATACTATTTTGCTACCTATGTCTACTACCTCTGGCTCTTAAATTTTTCCTCAATGGTCCTGAGCCATGGAGGGAGTGTCTGTAATATAGCTGTCCCATTGAAGGCTGAGTACTCCATAGTCCTTTATTCTCATACGGTGAACGGTTGGGTCTCTGTATTAATTTAATTGCCATCTACTGCAAAAAAACAAACCAAAACTCTAATGAGGGGATGAAGGAGGGTTGAGAGATGTACTACTCCATAAGTATAATGTTATACGTACTTAAGGGGCAGTTTATGTCCATTTAGCAGAATGATAATACTAAGCTTTCCCTTAGGGCCTATGACCTAGCCACCCACTGGGTTTTGACCCAAATACTGGTACCAAACATAAATCCTGTCTTGTGGAACAGGCCTTTACGTCCAATCAGAAACTGGTTAGTTATTCCGTTAACATTTATGCTACTATTGCAGCAGTGGTCAAATCTTGCCAGGACTGTCCTAACTGTAGTTTTCCAGATTCACATCTGGGTAAGACAACTGATTGTTTTTCAAACCCAGTAGCATGCATAGAACCTTCTAGCATTTTGAAAGTTAGCCAACGGAGATGAAACTTCTAGGTCAGTACCAGTTTGATTTCTCCGTGTCCTATGACTCAGATGTGTGGTGTCTCCAGCAGTAGGATCTTACTATCAAGTTGTAGAGGGTAATCAAGAGCAATGGCAATAGGCTGTATTGTTTGGATGGCCTCAAAAAAATTGTTAATTCAGTTTGCAGGGAAATTTTCTACACCTCTTTTTTGTGTCCCAAAACAAACAGCTTTCTGTCCTACATCCTTTGAACATCTGTATTCGGTGACAAAAGAAGCGGGGTGTGGGAGTGAGGGCTCATTCATTATCTGGGTCTTTTTAGTTTATCGTATGTGTTTCTGAGGATAGAACTTGGTGCTTTACCACTGAGCCACATCCCAACCCTTTTAATTTGTTAATTTAATTGTGTTAATTTGATATTAGGCAAGAGATAAACTAGAGTTCTGAATGTTACAAATCTCAAAGGAATAAAAAAAGAGAGATTTGTCAGCGTAAACATTTGAGACAGGCAGTAACAGCATCATACCCACAATGTAGAACTGTGTGAGTTGTAAAAAGAACTTTTGGAAAGAACATAACATAACCACAGGTTAGAGCTAGCCAGAAGTTAACCAAAGAGCCAGACTCAAGATACATTTCTTTGACCAGGTGGTGGTGGCACACACCTTTAATCCCAGCCCTTGGGAGGCAGAGGTAGGTGACTCTCTAAGTTTAAGGACAGCCAGGGCTACACAGACAAAATGTCTCAAAAAAAAAAAAAAAAAAAAACAAAGCCCATGCTTTTATTTTCCCAAGTATGAAAAGGAAGCAGCTTTCTGAAAAATTAAATACTTATTAGCATTACTCTTAACAACACACATATTATCCTGGCTTGGTGAGATGTGCCTTTAATCCCAGCACTTTAGGGTAAAGGCAGGAAGATATCTGTGGGTTCTAGACCATCCTTGGCTACATAGTGGGACTCTGTCTCCAAAAGCATAAACAAAGCATATATTAATACTCCCCCTGTGTTTTTAGTTTTCAGAATGTTTATTTCTCAGAGTATCTCTGAATTACTAAAGCAAATCCTGGTGTCTTCCATTGACATATTAGAAAACTAAAGTTCACAGAGTATGGAGGCCTGGCTAAAAGAATATACATATATAATGACATCTATGCAGTGAGCAGCAAGACTGCTACAATGTATAAGGCTTCCTATTTTAATATGTTTACTTATGTTGGAGGGAGTGTTATGTGTGTGGGGATGTCTGAGGAGATCAGAGAGGAAGTCATCACCTGGCACTAGAATTGCAAGTGCCTATGAGCTACCCTGCATGGGTGCTGGAAACTGAACTCTGGTCCTCTGCAAGAACACCAGGGGCTCTTAATTGCTGAACCAGCTTCCCAGTGCCTGTAAAACTTGCAAATGAATATGCGTTCATCCTTTATCTTTGGAAGAGAACCCCAGGTATCAGCCCGATATATCTATTAGAAGTAGACAGCCCTGTTTGTAAACATGAAGACCTAAGTTCAGTACCCAGAACCCATGTAAAAACAAACACTTGACCAGCTCCGGGAAGGCAGAAATAAGCAGATACCTAGGGCTCTCGGGCCATACAGACCAATTACTTGGTAAGCTTTAGGCCAGTGGGAAGCTCTGTCTCGAAAAATAGGTAGACAGCTCCAAAGGAACAATACCTCTCTGGCCTCCACAAGCGGGCAGCACACATGTGCATGCAGACTTTCACACATGTGTACACAAAGAGGAGACTTGGCTCAGTGAGATAGCACTGCTTCTGCCAAGCCTTGATGACCTGAGTTTGATCCCCAAGCCCACATGGCTTAAGCAAAGAACCAACTCCTGCAAGTTGTCCTCTGATCTCCACATGCACTCTGTTCCCTACACATACAGAGACAAGTTAATAAATGTGGAAGTGCTTTCCAAAAAGAAGGAAATGAAATGACTTATAGACTGAAAGGTCTATCTTTCAAATGAAAGAAATCAGTACTGAACGTGCATAGTAACTGATGAGATCTAACTAACACCAGAATCCTTTGACATCTGTATAGTTCTGTAGAAACTCAAGTGTAAAAATGTAGATTGCTGGCTACCATGGTGACAAAGAAGCAGAGTCATACTGTGCTTCTTAAGTTTCCATCCCGGGGCTACCTCAAAAGACTCATTAATATGCATGATTTTATATAGGTAATCCTCTCAGCAGCTTTGTGAAGCCTGTTTTCCCTGGTGAAATACCGGGTTCAAGCAGGTTCAATTGTCTGGGGTCGTGTTCCTGTAAGTTATGCTGCTAGGATTCCACTCTGGTATTCTGATTGTGAGCCACCACCGGGTTTCCACTGTCACTTTTCCTGACAAGGAAACTACCAAATAGCAACTGCTTCCTGGCTACAGTCAGCCAGTAAAGGTGCTGAGAAGGAGGAGAGCTCTCTGGAGGAAGAACTTGCAAGTTTCTGGTTGACAGAGAACAGTAATTAAAGTCAGTTGGCTTGTAGTCTCTACCTCAGTCCAGATCCAGCAAGAACACTTGAAGTTAAAGTCCAAAGTCTGTCTGTTCAGAGATTTAATAAACTCTTACTGGCCAGTTTAATCTTTCTGGAAATGTGTAGTAGACTAGTCATACGACTCACTGAAATAATAGACAGACTATAGAAGGCCTGTTTGCAAAGAAAAGTTCTACAATGCTTCATGTTTAAAAAAGCTTGGAGATGGAGGGAGGGATGCTGGCCAGCAGCCAGGTTTCCCTGTCTCTGCTAGACTGAGTAACTGCAGTCCTCAGTGACTTGAAAGTGAGTGCTAAGAACATAGTGGGCTATCAGTGATGGCCCTACTCACAGGGTGTAGTGGTCAGGTCTAGCAGATAAAGAATTTCAAGTCCCAAGAGTGACCTATCGTGCATAGCATCATAGCACTGGCGACTGACTTAGGCAGTAACTGAACTGTGTCTAAGATGCTGATCCTTAAGCTGCCTGGTGTGCACAGGACTTCCTTAAGGGAGTAATTTACCTCTCTGTGAAAACGTGTCCTAGTGTGACCGAGTTGCAGTCTATAGCACTAAGGGATGAACAAGGAAGCCAAGTAATGGATATAGTACATGTGCTTTGAAATGGCTTCATATAATTTTGGTATCCTAAAAACACTTGAAGTTGCATTATGAAGACACTGAATCCTGTGGGTTTTAGAGGCAAAAAGGAAAAGAGGTATGATGGTCATCTCTAACACAGTTCCAGGTGCTGCAGGAAGTGTGTATTTGCTGAGCCTTTAAGTATGGAAAAGTCTACTCACAGGCTACATAAAGGACCCAGGATTTTAGTGAAAGCAAGTCTGTTTGATGCTTAGCTCCAAATTAGACTGGATCAGTCATCCAACATTTATGTCTCCCCGTTACACAGCATTACCAGAAGCTAGGAAAGGAATCAAATGGCCTTGTATTTTGTTACTGCATTGGGCACGTAGATCCTATGGGAGAACCAAGGCTCAGATTGGATCCCTGCCTATAACACCTTCAGCTTTTGATTTTCGGTCACTCCATTACATACTGTAGCCTTCAGAATTTCCAGTGTCTTGTTGAATAATGCAAATGTAAACTTGTTTGCCATATGATTAACATTTGGAGACATTCCTTAAAGCTTAGAGGTTAGGATTCTAGCCGGGTGGTGGCGGCACACGCCTTTAATCCTAGCACTTGGGAGGCAGAAGCAGGCGGATCTCTGTGAATTCGAGACCAACCTGGTCTACAAGAACTAGTTCCAGGACAGACACCAAAGCTACAGAGAAACCTTGTCTCATGGAGTGGTACCCTGTGTCTCATGGCTAAATAAGCAGAGGAGACAATGACCTACCCAGATGACCAGAACTAGTGCTATATGAAGCTAGAAATGTTTGTGTTTTAAGAGACTCCCTAGAGCAGCAGTTCTCAACCTATGGGTTGTGACCCTTTGAGTGGTGGAGGGGTATTGGAAAACCACAATATTTAACATTATGATTCATAATAATAGCAAACTTACAGTTATGAAGTAGCAGTGATTTTTATGGTTAGGGGGTCACCACAACACGAAGAACTTATTAAAAGGGTTGCAACATTAGGAAGGTTGAGAATCACTGGCCTAGAGGTTTTGTAGATTACATCTATCGGGTCCTCAGTGCCTGCCTGGGTTTATATTTTGTCTGGCTTTTTTTTTTCCCCACTAAGTGATAGTACCTAAAAAAATCTAGTCAAAAGAAGAGATACTTTTTCCAATTGACATTATAATAAGAGATATACAAGAACAAAAGAAAGCAATTAACAAAAGAAATACACTCAAAGGCTGCTTTCACATTTTGTTTCTGTTTTGTTCGGTTTTTATCCGTAGGGTTGATGGTGCATGTTGATAAGAGAATAACCCTGGCTGCTTTCAAACAGCATTTAGAGCCGTATGTTGGAGTCCTGTCCTCTCACTTCAAGGTTTTTCGAGTGTACACCAGCAACCAAGAGTTTGAGAGCGTCCGACTGAATGAAACCCTTTCGTCATTTTCAGATGACACTAAGGTTGATTATAATAACCCTTATAGAATTAATCCATTTTAAGTAATAGGTTTGTGTAAACAGAGACTGTTCTTTCATATTCCAGCCCCCACACCCAAATAATCCCCACAAAAACTATATTAATTACAACACTGTTTGGCTAGTGGCTCAGACATATTCTTAGGTAGCTCTTATATCTTAACCCATTTCTTTTAATCTGTGTATCACCACAAGGCTGTGGCTCACCAGTAAGGTTCTGGCGTCTTTCTCTTTTGGCAGCTACATAGTGTCTCCCTGACTCTGCCTTCTTTCCTCTTCTATCTGCTTGGAATTCCCACCTTGAAATATTCTATCCTGCCATAGGCCAAAGCAGCTTCTTTATTAACCATTAGCAATAAAATATATTCACAGCATAAAGAGGGGAATCCCATATCAGGTTTGAGAGCTGCTTGTAGCCCTTCCAATGAAGGTGGAGTAGGTAGCCCCAAGGATAGGTCGCTGGCTGCTACTGAGTGTTTAGATTGTTCTTTGCTTGTCCACCCAACAGGCATGGTTAAGTTAACTATGTCAGTTACAGTTCTAGTGATGGAGAGTCAGAGGTCAAGGTGTACCTGTTCTCCCAGGAGCCCATGAAGTAGGGGTTGGGGAAACCACAAGATAACAACAGTGTGTGCCTGGGTTGCCCTGCTGAGGCAGTTCATCTAAAAGAATGTTCTTGATTCTTAGATCACAATTCGACTCGGGAGAGCACTGAAGAAGGGAGAGTACAGAGTTAAAGTGTGCCAGCTCTTAGTCAATGAGCAAGAGGTGAGTGACACTGGAGACTACAGGAGAGTACTAACACCTTCAGGACGAGATGGCTTCTAGTCATCTCTTCTGCAGTACTCAGTTCTGCTGTCATAGTACACAGGAAGCCTGTACCCGGTGAGGTCAGATTTACAACACAGGCATGGTGTGTTGTCACACTGCGGGCATAAGCAGGCTTTTCCTGCATTGAAAAGGAGCTAGATGTGTTTATGGTTGCCTTCTGGGAAGGATGGTACTGTGCTACGAGAGGATGGCCTGTGTCAGTACCTTCTGTGTCCAAGGTCGTCATGGTTTTAGGGGCATCCCTGTAGTATGTTGTATGACATCAGTTCCTTCAAAGACTCATTTAAGCCCCATCAGTTAGCTCTGTGGTATAAGTCCTGTTTAATATTCCCAATTTGTAAACGAAGAAGTTAAGTAATGTACTCAAGGTCACATTTGAAATCTGTGTAAAGGCTCCCAGCAGGCTGGTCTAGGAAGTAATCAGAATATTTCTAAAATGTTCATGCATAACATATAGAGATCTAGACAAACATGAACGCTGTAAACTTATACAATGCTTCATTAATTAAAACAATGTTTTATCTATCATCCAGTTTTCATTCATATGCTTCTTCTGAGTTTTTTGTTTTCTGTTAGAGATTGAGTGTAGATTCCTTCATTGAAATCCATGGAACTGTGCCTTATACTTTCAAAATTGTCATAGTTTTATAACAGATAGGGAAATATGAATGCATTATCCTAGTTAATCATCATGATAACTCTGAAAGGAAGCTATTGTCCCAATTTACAAATGAGAAGGCTGAGGCATAGGCTGTTAAGCAAGGCTGCTCACAACTGCTGAGCCTATAAGTTATGGAGCTAACACTGAGAACAAGAAGAAAGATTCTTAAACTCCATTTGGCTCTTCCGTGTGCTGCCCAGCACAAATAAATATCTTCTTAACCCTTGCTTCACTGCAACACACAAGCTCTAATTGTGTGTTTATATTCCTAGCCATGCAAGTTTCTGCTAGACGCTGTATTTGCTAAAGGCATGACCGTGCGGCAATCAAAAGAGGAGCTGATTCCTCAACTCAGGGAGCAGTGTGGCTTAGACCTCAGCATTGACAGGTAAGGAAGACCTGGCACTGGCTGCTTTCATGCTACTGTACCTTTCCTCCAGGATGTAGTGCTGAGTCCTGGAGAAGACAGAATTTGATGGACTAGAGGCATTGCTTCTGCATCACCCCTGAATTTTCATGAGGAACCATTTATTTTGTACTTTGAACACAGTTCATATTTGGTGTCTGATGAATGTAAATTTTTGAATTAAATATTTCAAATCATAGCATTTTTTGTTTTTAGGTTTCGTCTAAGGAAGAAAACATGGAAGAACCCTGGCACTGTCTTTTTGGATTATCATATTTATGAAGAAGATATTAATATTTCCAGCAACTGGGAAGTTTTCCTGGAAGTTCTTGATGGTATTGTTGGTTTTTTTTTTTTTTTTGAGTAATAAATATCAATTAGAAAGACAGTAGAGCTAGTGGAACCCTAACCCCTTAGCTCCTGACCCCAGATTGATCTGTGAGAAGTGTGCTGCATGATGCAGTATTGTCGGCCTTGTCAGCATCAGGCTGTAGTTTTGTGCACTGATATGTGTAGCATGAATTCTAGTTGGTCTTCAGCCCAGAGTCAGATACAGGAGTTAATGCTGAAGATGACAAGAGAGACCACAGTTCTTTGATCTCTACCAGTGCTCAGACCAAAAGGAGCGACCTCCCCTCAGACTATCCCCTCAGACCTCGTCCACTGACTGCAGCTGTTTCCATCAAACCTCAGACTACACTGTGCTTTTGTCTCCTCCGGCCTTATATTCCTCTTTCTGCCCAACCACAGCCATATCACTCCTGTCTACACTTCCCTAGTGCTGGGATTAAAGGCATGGGATCCCAAGTGCTGGGGTCACCTTTATATGAACTCTGTTTCTCTTTGAGCCTGGATCAATCTAATATAGCCCAGTGTGGCCTTGAATTTACAGGGATCCATCTGCCTCTGTCTCCTGAGTCCTGGGATTAAAGGTGTGTGCCACCACTGCCTGACCTCTAGTGACTTAGCTCTGCACTCTGATCTTCAGGAAAGCTTTATTTATTAAAACACAAACAAAATATCACTACAGATATGATTCTTGCTCCATCGCTGAGATTCTTTTTTATTTCCTTATCTCTAACATAACTGCTTGTATTATTTTTAGAGATATCCCCTGTCTATGCCTTCCAATATATAAAAAATAATTTAAAAGTTCAAATTTTGGGGTTCATTATGCAGAAAATTCTGTTGGTATTTTCTTAGGCATGCTTATTATTTTCTTTATCATTGTCCCATATTTTATGTTGAGAATATAAATATACTACTGAAAATGTGTCAAAGATGTTGCAAACAGCTGTGTTAGTGACCTAGGCTACTTCCACTTCAGAATGCTACCAACAGGACAGCTAAATGGCAGATGCTCAGTCTTTACTGAGGTCGGAGGTCAAGGTATTAGTGAATATTGTTTCTATCTTTCTTGATCTTACTGGGGAGCTGTATCTTCCATGTCACTCCCCTAGCTTCCAGAGCTTGGTGGCCTGCTTTTGGCTTGTAGCCAGGTACTGTGCCCCATCTTTCCTCTCATCTTCACATAGCATTCTCCGTGTAGACTTCCCCATTTTCAGAATACACTAGCCATCTTGAATTGAGGTCCACCCACTTATTTCAAGTTTTTCTCTAACTATAATAAGGTTACATTCTGAGTTATTTTGGACTTGGATTCCATGTCTGTTAGAGCAGGCAGCTAGGCCATGACAGGGACCTGGAGCAGCACTTGTGCCCACCAGGATGTCCACTCTCTCTTTTGTTCTGGGACTGACTCAATACTCTGCCCAGAGGAGTGGTGGGGGGAGTTGGCTTCAGGAAGGTCACATTGAGTTTTGTCTTACGTGTTTTGATGCCACTTATGTCCACAATCTAGACAATAAGATCATAGTTCTTAGAGAATTCAGTAGCCCTTCTTACTAGCTGTTTCTAACCTAAATCAGCTTAATTTAGCTAGGAAAACTTTCAATTAATTGACAACTTAACTGGGAGGCAAAGAACTACCAGAGCACCAGGTTCTTGCTGCATGCAGGTGTCCTTCTCCAGTGTGTGCAGCCTACGAGATAATAGCTTTTTCTGAGCAAACTGACACAGGGTCATGAAGGTCACATAAATAGGCTAGTGCCACAGAGAGTGGTAGTGGTACTGGGTGGTAGGTGTCTTCATTGTATCATGTCAGTGTGCATTTTAACATCGAAGTAGATGGATAAGAAATGAGTCATGTGATTAAATCTCAGCAATGTTTATTCAGCCATAATTGGCCAGATGGGGCTAGTCTCTGGAGCTATAAACAGGAATAAGCTAGGGATTGCCCATCACATGCACAGTCTGGGCGGAGTGGAGCAGCAGGTGTATCTTAAGTTGTTAGTTGCTGAGACTAGCTAGCCACAATAGAAATTGTATGTATGTCTACCAGCAAGGTGACAGGTGAGCTGAATTTTGATGAGCCACTGAGTTTTGGCTTCAAAGAAAGAGGGATTGGTGATCGTTTGGGTGAATAAAGAAACAAATGAAGGTGGCTTGATGGTAGTTTAGATTGGAGTCAGAGCTACAGGCACTGGAAGAGACTGGAGGGAAAGTGATAGGAAGAGCAATGTCAGACAGTTGGGAGGAAGCGGTGTAGCTTAGGATACTGATGGTCATATAGTAGCTGAGGGCTGTCTTGTGAGAGTAGAGAGTTGTTAGAACCCGCCTTCCAGTGGATATCCACACCCAACCCAGGCGGGCGCGCCTTCCTGAACTCGGGCCCACGAGAATGGACGATTGTCTTGAGGGTTAAAAACAGACACACACAAAAAAGAGACCTTTGCTCATTTACCAAGAGTAAATGGCAACTTTATTAAACTCAAGTCGAGTATTTATACCAGTGAGCAACCGGGATCAAAAAGGGCAAGGCCTCCTCCCAACAAGCAGGAAGCTTGAAACAGGAAGGAGAATAAAGGCCCCAGTAAAGGAAAACTCCTCCCACCCAGAGGGGGTTGGGGAAACTGGCCTCTGTGGGAGTTTTTCCCCAGGCAGGTGGTCGAGGGTTCAAGGCAATGTCAGACAGGTTAGATGGGCCTTGGCGCCTGAGCTTCTTTGAGGCAGGTTGAGAAATTACCATTTTAAAGTAAAATAGATCCCTCAGGCTAATGTACCAGGCTGTAGCAGAACCAAGGACGGAACTAGCAGGAAGCTTAGCTGGTTAGCGTAAACATTATTTGCATCCAGTATTTTGGTCTCAAGGATCAGGGAGGACAGGGTCCCACAGAGAGTTATGTGTGCAACTCTTTTTAAAGAAAGAACAGGAACTGGAGGCATGGCTCAGGAGCTAAGTGCAGTGACTGCTCTTGCAGAGGGCGCAAGTTCTATTTCCAGCATCCACATGGTACCTCTCAACCATCCATGACTGCAGTTCCAGGGCTCTGATGTTTCGTTCTGACATCCAAGGGCAGCAGACATGCCTATAGGCAGATATACATGTAGACAAAGATATACATATAGGCAAAACACCTGTACACCTAAAATAAGTACATGATCTTTTAAAGGGGCTTTAGACTTGGCTCAGTGGTTAAAAGATCTTGCAGCTATTTCAGAGGATTTGTGTTTGATTCCCAACACCCACATCAGGCAGCTCACTACCTTCTGCAATTTCAGCGTCAAGGAATCTGACACCTTCTGGCCTTCATGAGCCCCTGAATTCACACAGATACACACATAAATAACATGCTTTAAAAAACAAACAAACAAAAAGAATAGATCTTTATGTTTAGTTAGGAAAAGTTTAGTTACAGGAAAAGTAAGATAAGTAAGCCCTTAGAGAAAATGAATGCTGGGTGTAATCCTGCATGTCCTTAGGTGTAGAGAAGATGAAGTCCATGTCACAGCTTGCCATTTTATCAAAACGGTGGAGGCCTTCAGAGATGAAGTTGGATCCCTTCCAGGAGCTTGTGTTGGAGAGCAATAGTGTTGATGAACTGCGGGAGAAGGTAGGTTCATTTGAACAAAATTAGCTAATACATGTTTTCCTGCGTTGTGTGGGAAGTGAGTACCAGTAACTGTTGTCAGGAGTCTTTCTTGGTCTCTGTCCATTAGGGTCCCTTAGATCTCCTCATGTTTTAAAATTACTTTGTTTAAAGGAGGACTTTCACTTTTCATTACTTAGCCAACTGTGTACTAAGTTTTTGAAATTAACTAGAAGTTATTAAACTGTTGTATGGCTAAATGAACAAAGGATAGAGAGCTGAATGGAGGTCCTAGGCCATACTATTCTGAACATGCCTGGTGGCATCTGGTCACACTTGGGTGTGGTTGGTACTTGAAAAAGAAAATAGAGTGAAGATATGCTTTGCATTTTACAGTAATGCAGGTGTCTCAGGGAAGGGGGCATTGCCCTCTCCATCAGTGCTTCTGCTTCAGTGGGCAGTTTGTAAAACCTTTAAAGGCCACAGTGCATGCCAGCAGTCTCCACACTTGAGACCTAACTCAGTTGCAGTTGCCAGGCATGTGCAAGGTCCTGGGTTTAATTTCCAAATAATTGTAAGTATATTATATTTACATAAGTAAAGGAAAAGGACAGATTTACTTCTTAAATATTGGAATAAAAATGCTTCTGATCTAGTGCTAAAAGCCAGAAAAAGAAAGGGATACTGCACAAAAGCTTAACTGTTCTGTATGACTCCAAATGGTAATTTAGAAAAACAGCTTACAAACAAAGCTAGAAGACAAAGACAGGAGGAAATTATTGAAACCAGCATGGGACACGATGCCCCTGAGGTGGGGGGTTGGTTGGTTTGTTTTATTTAAGTCAGTAGTCTCATTCTGTAGACCTGACTGGCCTTGAACTCCTAGCACTGAGATCACAGGCACACACCACACTCACTAATGCCCCTAGTGTAAATGTGACCACTGTCTTAACAAGGAGAATATAAGCAGCTTAATCGGGCAAAGTTCTCAGTGAAGATTTAGAAAATCAAAATAATACCTAGACCTGTCCAGCTTTGGGACTGATGGGCAAGATCCTATCTCTCTGATAGGTTTCCAGGGTGGCAGGCGTTGTCAAGGTGCCGTCAGCACTTCAACTGAGCAGAGCTCCACATCCAGCAGTGTGGTCAGGGGTCTATGTTTCTACAGTGGTGTGTGATATGCGTGTACAGATAGCTCCTAATGGAACTTTATGCTTTTAGAAATGTGTCAAGTGTGCTAGCATGTTCCAGGGATATGGGATTTGCATCATGAGCAGATTTCACTGTCTGCTTCTAATTTTTTAAAAATCAAATATGTTAGTTTTTAAATCCAGCTAATTTTGGTAGAAAAGGAAAATAACTTCTCAAGAATAATTTTTAAATGAATTTGCATATGACTTTTCTTTTCTAGTTGAGTGAAATCAGTGGCATTCCTTTGGAAGACATTGAATTTGCCAAGGTAAAGCCTGAGAACATTTGCATCCTGGTGCTGAGTGCCGCAAATGTGATTCGTGCTTTAACTCATCCAGCCATGTTTTTTTCTCCTCAGGGTAGGGGAACCTTCCCCTGTGATATTTCTGTCCTTGATATTCATCAAGATTTGGACTGGAATCCTAAAGTCTCCACCCTAAACGTTTGGCCTCTTTATATCTGTGATGATGGTGCCGTCATATTTTATAGGTAAAGTGCAATGGTTTTGTTGCTAGTGCTGATGTATTTGTGGTGTTGAACCTTTACACTGAGCAGTGGAAATACAGTGAGGGCTACACACCGCAGCTTGATGTTTAGAGTACCTTAGTTAAAATCAGAGAAAGAACACTGTACTTCCCCACACCTGTGACCCCAGCAACAGAGAAGTAGATGCAGGAGGATCAGGAATCAGAGCCAGTTTCTGCTATATAATGGGTTTGAGACCAGCCCCAGCCTCAGCTATGTGAGATTTTTTTTTTAAGCTTTTTAAAATAGGATTTCTCTGTGTAGTCCTGGCCTGGAACTCGATTTATAGACCAGGTTGGTCTTAAACTCACTGAGATTTACCTGCCTCTGCCTCCCGAGTGCTGGGATTAAAGTCTTGTACCACCACTGCCCAGCTGTGAGACCCCATCTTAAAACTCTCCCCTAAAAATAACAACAATAAGTAAAGGAGGAGCCAGGCAGTGGTGGCACATTCCTTTAATCCCAGCACTCAGAAGCAGAGGCAGATGGATCTCTGAGTTTGAGGCCAGCCTGGTCTAAAAAGCGAGTTCCCTATGTGCTGTGACACATATGCCCATTCCTAATAGCACACAGAAAACAGTGAGATTAATTATAATTGCAAAAAATTCTGTTAATCCAGTACGTACAAAATGTTAATACAGCATGTCATTGACATTTGGGGGTAGCTTACATTCTTTGATTTATAGATTTCTTAAGAGATGCTGTGTATCACACTCCCAGCACGGCAAGACACACTTGAGGTGCTCTCTGACTGCTGTGTTGGACAGCACACATACAAAGGAAAATCATCTTTGCAAAGAACCTGGACAAATCTAACTTATTTCCCTAGCTCTTACCTGTAAAATGGTGACAGTGCTGTTTTTCCTGAGAATTCAGGCTATTTCATAGAGTTATCATCTGTTATAAGTAGATGTTCAGTAATGCAGATTGTATTACTTCTAATACTCATGTGAGATGATTCTCTACCATTTTAAGAAATGACATGATTCACATGAGTAACCTAGTACATCCTAGTGTGCAAGAGCAAGAAGAGAAACACAGTAACGTCAGATGTAGGTGAACAGGGTCAGTGACCAGCTGGTCTAATGATTTGTATTTCACATAAAGGGATAAAACGGAAGAAGTAATGGAGTTGACAGAAGAACAAAGAAATGAACTGATGAAAAAGGAAAGTAGCCGACTACAGAAGACTGGACATCGTGTGACGTACTCCCCTCGCAAAGAGAAAGCGCTCAAGATCTACCTGGATGGGGCGCCAAATAAAGACGTGACTCAAGACTGACTGCCAGTGTAGCCTTCTCCCTGACGGTTGGTTTAAGTAATGGTTCACTACTGCTGGGTAGTGCCATTTTGGCCGGACGTGGTTGGGGTAATCCCATGACACCAGCACTGATTGGACCTCCCTTCACCAATCAGAAGCTCAGTGCCCAGTGGGCCACTGTCTTGACTTGGAATCATGTTGTGCACTATGGTCAGATGTACTGTAAAGCCAAGGATGTGCAAAGAGAAACAAGCAAAGCCTGCTACTATGAAAGGGGAGGGGGACGAGTAGATTCATTGATTGCGGACAAATGTGCACATAGCCGCTAGTAAAACTAGCCTCAAACAGGATGCTCATAGCTTAATAATAAAGCTGTGCAAAGGCCATGAATGAATGAATCTTCTGTTTATTTCATTGATACACACATTACCTCATTGACAGTTTGAAGCAAATGCAACTGTGTTGACTCTTAGAAAGCAGCAAAGAGGAGCTGAAGGAGTTCTTAGAACCAGCATCACCCATAGAAGAATTAGGACGGTGTCTCTTTATTTTATTTCACTTTTTACAAAGTATTAAGAACCTTAGTGAAACAGCCCAGTATCTTTTTCCCTTTGGCCACTGCCAGTAGGTGCACTACGACTGCTGCAGGTTTGTGATTAGAACCAACTGTACTTGAGCTGTGGATGTAGAGAATGTCTCACTCCTTCACTCAGCATGTAAATAAAGGGGTCCTGCTGAGTTCTCCCGACTGCAGCTCTGCTGTTTGCCATGGTTCTTTCCTCATTCGTCATGTACATTTGTGTACACCGAAGCTCAGCAGCCGCATAGTTGTTCATTGAGGGATCTCTGTTCAGTAGCTTCAGTCTTTTCTCTGTACATTTATTTTCAACGAATTGCTTCAAGTTTGAGTCTTCTAGAGTGCTTGTAAAGTCCCATTTTGATTTTTTTAAGAGTCGATTTGTAGTTCTGTAGTGTAACTTTGGGGAACCATCTGCTCATCACGTGGAATAAAGTTTCTCGGGGGCCTTGGTGTAGACTTGGTGCCACATGATTCATTGCAGAGTGTGCTAGCGTCAGCAGGCTTCTGCTCTGCTAAATACAACTTCTAAGAACACAGTTCTACACAAACTTTGAAATATTATCTAATTTATAAAAGTCAATAAAAAGGTTTTGGTAAAACTTTTTCATGCAAGATGCTGTTTACAACAATGAATACGCCAATAAAAATTTGTTCATGTTGCTGTGTTATTTTTTTGTCATTAAACCTCTGGGGACATGAATCTGGGTACAGAATGAGTTTGTTGTCTTTAAGTATGGCGCTTTGTTACCTGTATGGAATAAGTATCACACACTCCGATGAAGTGTATTTATAGTAAAGTTCTTCAAAGAGTCCTGACAGTACTTCAGAATCAGGTTTTTACCCTTTTCCTTTTAAGAAATGCTTAATGAGGCCTGGAGAGGTGGCTCAGTGGTTAAGAGCACTGGCTGCTCTTCCAGAGGATCTGAGTTCAATTCCCAGCAACCACATGGTGGCTCACAACCATCTACACTGGGATATGATGCCTATTCTGGCCTACAGGCATACATGCAGATACAGCACCATATACATAAAATAAAAAACAAATATTAAAAAAGAAGAAATACTTAATGAGAACCTAGCAGATGTTGACTGTCATTTGAATATAATTAAGGTATTCTATAATATTTTAAAAGTCTCTTGGGTCTGGTCCAGGCTTGGGACATAGACATTAATCTGCTCCCCAGGATTGACTTTCTGGCAAGCAGCGGAAGTTGGTAGAGTGGGCTTACTTGCCTTTCTTCTGGTTTGGCATAGTGTCCTCAATGGCTGGCACAATTCTTCCCATTTGTCTGCCCCTTGGTATTTGCCTTCTGCTCTAGGTTTGCTGCTGCTGTGTAGGAGTCTTTGCAGGCATGTTATACATAGGGGAAATGCTTCGTAGAAAAGAAAACTTACAAGGCCAGCTTCTCAGTGCATGGGAGGTGAGCCAGGAACAGGAGCCTTCTCAGTGAAGTCACAGGAGTGAGAGGCAGCTTCTCCGGGCTTCAGGGAGTTGGTAGATCCTGAAGCAGGGCAAATGCACTGGATTGTGACCATTCTCTAGGGGCCACAGAAGTTTTGAAGAACTTTTATTAGGGCAGATGAATTGTGTCAGCCAGGTACAGACTGTTAGAACCAGGTGGCTGTACTTCTGAGGCCCTGGCTAAGGTAAGGAGCATTCTAGTCAAGAAACTCAGCTTTGGTTTCATGGCTATGGCCCGTTGAGCAGGCCTACAGGGGGAATATATGAAAGGGACAGTAATGGTGACAAAGTGGAAGAGCCTGCTCTAGGTTAATGTCTTGTAATGGAAAGTGTGCTGCAGTTAGAAAGATGGAGGATTCCAGGTCCTGGCTATACTGTGGGGATATGGTGACACACCCATAGTGGGAAGTAGCCTGATGGTCTGGTGTTTGGGAGCCTGTGATGTAAATCTACCTGACCTGTGACTCTGGAATGCAGGAAGATCCTCTGCTGAGTTCTAGGATTTTCTTTGCCATTGAACTGTCATTCTCTCTGGACTCATCTCTGGTCAGTATCAAAGACCTTGCAATTCTCGAACCTATGATTTGCAAGTTACAAAGTAGTGTCCAGTAGTGTGGATTATAATTCTGTACAATTTTTGAAAAAAAACTGTACTTTGGTTTCACTAATCATCTTATAAAAACTTCGTAAATCCTGGAATCAAATGCAAACTGGTATGCATGAAGTTTTCTAGGGGCTAGAAGGTGGCCTGTGTCCAGTTTGCAAGAGTTCGTGACTCAAAAGAGGCTATTAGACACTTCAACTGAGTGAACATGGAATTTGAAGATGCTCCTGCAAGGCAGCCAATATGGGGGAGCCATCACTCCTAGACCTGTGTTGTTTTTTGTTAGTTTTGTAAGCTACAAAAACGTTGGATTACCTCAAGAATTCATCAACATCTGTGATCATTTAGAAAGTGCAGCTATCAGAAGGGTCAACATAGGAAGGCAAATGGGGCGTTGAGAGAGGTACGTTACCCCTGCTATCTACTACCACTAATCCCAGAGAAGTTGCTCATGATTGGAACTGGAAATTACCTGGCACCCCCCTCACAAGTTACTGGAAGATAGCACCCTTTTTCTGCTTTTGCGTACCCCCAACTTCCCTATACAGTGAGCTCACTGATTTCAAGTTTGTGCTGCTTGGGTAGCATGCTTAGAGCCAGTTTTTGGAAATACAAGAAAAGGTGCTTTATCTAGTAACTAGAAATCCCCACTGGGAAACCTGTTCACAGTGCAGTCTGCAACTTGCATTGCTTTGCGTATTACAACAATCTGATCTTGAATTTATGTCATTCAAAATAGTGTGCTCCCTCAGTGCACACTATGGTTCATTAGTTACAAGGCTGGATGCAGAATGTGGGAGGAAAGGTATGGTCACCTACCACTGTCCACTCTAACTGCACCACTGCTGATGGCAGGTGGGAAAGAGATAACTGTTCATGAGCAGCCATCTGCAGTGAGGCCACGGTCCCCTCTTATAGACTTAATGGTAGATGTCCATAGGTCCTATCACCAGAAGACTCAGCTATTCAAACTTGACCTCATCCTTTTTTTTTTTTTTTTTTTGGTATTATAATAACCGTGAACTAATTATTTTTTTCTTTTTATTGTTTTTATTGAGTCATATATTTTTCTCCGCTCCCCACTCTTCCTCCTCCGCTCCCATTTTACTCAAATCTTGTCTTTCTCTACTTTCCATGTAGATTAGATACTCTTATGGTCCTCTTTATTGTCTAGGTTCTCTGGGATTGTGAATTGTAGGCTGGTTTTTCTTTGCTTTATGTCTAAAAGTCACTTATGAGTGAGTACATATTATATTTGTCTTTCTGGGTCTGGGTTACCTCACTTAATATGATGCTTTCTAGATCCATCCATTTGCCCGCAAATTTCAAGATGTCATTTTTTTTTTCCGCTGTGAAGTATTCCATTGTGTAAATGTACCACATCTCCTTTATTCGTTCTTTGGTCGAGGGGCGTTTAGGTTGTTTCCAGGTTCAGGATATGACAAATAATGCTGCTATGAACTCAGTTGAGCACATGTCCTTGTGGCATGATTGAACATCCTTTGGATATATACCCAAAAGAAGCCATTTTTACTCTGTTAATTCTACCTACCCAAGAGCATAGGAAATCTTTCCACTTTCTGGTGTCTTTTTTCAGTTTCTTTCTTCAAAGACTTAAAGTTCTTGTCATACAGGTTCTTCATTTGTTTGGTTAGAGTTACTCCAAAATATTTTATGTTATTTGTGGCTATTGTGAAGGGTGATGTTTCTCTGATTTCTTTCTCAGCCCATTTATCATCTGTATAAAAAGAGGGCTACTGATTTTTTGCTGTTGTTAATTTTCTATCCTGCTACATTACTGAAGGTGATTATGAGTTGTAGAAGTTCCTTGGAGGAATTTTTGAGGTCGCTTATATAAACTATCCTATCATCAGCAAATAGTGAGAGTTTGACTTCTTATTTTCTGGTTTGTATCATGTTGATCTTCTTTTGTTGTCTTATTGCTTTAGCAATAAGAACTATATTGAATAGATAAGGAGAGAGTGGGCAACCTGTCTTGTTCGTGATTTCAGTGGGATTGCTTTGAGTTCCTCTCCATTTAGTTTGATGTTGGCTGTTGGCTTGCTATATATTGCCTTTATTATGTTTAGGTATGTTCCTTATATTCCTGCTGTCTCCAAGACCTTTATCATGAAGGGATGTTGTATTTTGTTTGACCTCATCTTTTGACTTCACATGTGTATACATACATGGATGCATCCATATGAATATCTGCCTAAGCACGCATGCACACACACACACACACACACGCAAAATCCAGAGACAGTTGTGCCCAGGATCACTTCTGTTCTTAATTTGGCCTCAAACTCCTGTGCTAGACAGTCTAACTCTCTCAGAGATATCCAGGGCCCAAAACAGAATCCCAGGAACTTTATGCAGCTCAGAGGTTGAGGATGTAATAATTAATGGTCAAGGACCTCCTCAGGGTGATTATGCTGTTCATGTGAGCTCCATGTACTCACATAAGCCCTTGAGAGTGGAGAACTTTTCACTGAGTAAAACCAGAGGGGCCTGTTACTGCTGGTTTTGAAGAAGGGAGCTCTTGTAGAAATGGCCCCTGTGTTTGTTGCTTTTCTGTGCTGTAATAAGACACCAGGGCCAAGGGCAACTTGAGTTATTTTGGCTCCCAGTTGGCATCCATGACGGTAGAGTGGCATGGCACAGAACCAGGAAGCTGAGGCACATGTTGAACCCACATGGGAAGCAGAGAATCAACGCAGACAAAGTCTGCCCCCAGTGACACACTTCCTCTGCCACGGCTGCATCGCCTAACCCTCCCCAAACAGCATCACCAACTGTGTTCAAGTGTCTAAGACTAAAGGGGACATTTCTCACCAAACAACCACCATCAGCACCCACTTGTCTTTGAACAGCTGGTGCTCAGTTTGCAGCAGTCTCTAAGGTTGTGGACCATCAGGGGAGTGGAGCCTTGCTGGCAGAAGTGGGCCGCTGCAGGTGGGCCTTGAGATCTCCCCACTTCCCCATGCACTCTGCTTCCCCGTAGTCGCACAAACAGTCATTGCCACTCCTGCCACCATCGTGGACAATTCCTTTGAACTCTAAACTCCTCCCTTAAGTTGTTCTTGTCAGATATTTATAGCCACAGAAATAATAAAAGTCATACAGAGGCCCTGGGTCAAGGACTGTCAAACTAACAGAAGCTAAGCAGTGAGTGCTAGCTGAAGGCTGGGGAGGTGGGGGGAGAAAGGCAGTCCGACAGCTCCCAGCTTCCTCAGAGGGCCTTGAAGCCAATACCACATCTTGATCACCTGTCCTGGAAGGCCAGGAACGGGGGAGGGGAGGATCACTCCCTGGCAGCTTGGTCTTTTGCTGGGATCACTGCTAAGGAGCCGAACCTTAGCTCCTGCTGTTGTTTCCCTGGCAGGAACCGGATCCAAGAAAAGATCAGGCAGCCAGTGAAGAGCCGCACTCAGCTCAGCTCTTCCCATGGTCCAGTAACAATGTTGAGGTGCGGTCTTCTTGGCTGAGCATTCAGGCCTCTCACAGGGTGGTTAGCTCTGGGAAGGGTACCCTAGTTTTCCCTCATTCACGAATGAGACTTGATACATGGTGGGTACCAAACAGGCTTTTTTGTTTGTTTTCAATAAAACCATTTTCAGACTCATCTCAATGCATTTCCTCACGCTTGCCTTAGCTTCCAGTCACCCTGTCCATTGAGAATCTTATCCATTTCCCGTCTAGGTCCTTCCCTTTCATGGTGGCCCTCCAAGCTAAGCCCTCCGCTAGGGCTCCTCTAGCACTCAGCTGTTTGTGTCCCATCTTCTGTTGATATGATTTCAGAGCAGAGACTCTCGCCTGGGAACATCCGAACCCTTGCTCTGAGCAAGCCCTCCACACATAGCCGCCGGGTGATCAGGAGTTAAGAGGCCCTGTAAGTTGCCATCGAATAAAAAACACCTCCATGTTCGACAGTAAAATAATCAGTGCACCCTTGAAGCCATTTCACCTAACTTCTCCCTCCTCCACCTCTCTGAAGCCCCATTCTGTCATCTGCTAATATGGACTTCAGAGAGTCAGCGCCTGCTGCCCTGTTGACCTAAATATACAGGGCCCTCATTAATCTAGTCCTTAAAGAGCTTGGTGTGTCCCAGCTCTGTTATGGACCAGGTAAACCATCCCCGTGTCCAAAGACCTATTGGTTAAAGGCTTGTTCCCCATAGCACTATTGGGAAGCTACAACAATCTTCTTTATCAACCTGCGTAGTTTTTTTTTAATACGTTGTTCATTTATTCTGAATCTTCACATTTGTAGCTAAAACCATAGGATTTCAGCATACCAGATAAAACACAGCAGATCCTAACCAGTACAGGTTTTAGTGACAAATGAGCCCATACTATGGACATAGATGACTATCAAGTACTTACATGTATTGTTTTTCTAAATGTTTATGTTTCTTTACTGTGATATCTTCAGATTAGAGATTTAAAGTCTTTTAGATGGCAAAGGTGTTATGTGAGAAAGTTATTACATAGCCCTTCCGTGTCTTGGAACCAAATGGGTTTTTGAGTCATTTAGGAGACACCCTCTGTACCTGTCTATGAGGCAAGGAGTTCCCAGAGAGTTCCAGCTGAGGAAGGAAACTCACCCTTTTGGGTGGGGTGGCACCATTGAATGGTCTGGGGTCCCAGAATCAATGAAAGGGGGAAAAGGAGAAAGTTGAATCCTGGCATTACCCCTTCTCTGCCCCCTGGTCCTCGGAACTGTGGGAAGCAGCCCCCACTCCACCCCTGTGCCCCGCCTGCTACAAAATGAACCCTCACCCTTCAGGCAGCTCCTGTCAGCACCAGGAGAGTAGCTAAAACCAACACGAGGGGTGGGGCCTCGTGAGAGGGCCCCGGTCCTGGGGGAGGACTGTGTGTTCTTCTCTCTCTCTCCCTGGGAGCAGCCTGACTCTACCACATGCTCCCCGCCATGTTGTGCTGCCCCACCACGGTTTCCAGGCAACAGGATCATGACTGACACCCAAAACAGGGAACAAAAATACGCTTTTTTAAATACATAAATTAATTGCCTCAGGTATTTCATTAGAGTGCCCGTGCTGCACAAGCCCAGAACTACCTTTGACGACAGGGCGCCTCCAAGAGACGACTCACATGTCCCATTTGTTCCTTTGGGAGATGGGAAGGAGTTTGCTTGCCTAAAACTCAGTCCCAGCCAGACAAGAATAAGCGTTCCAACAGAGTCTAGAAGTGAACCGCAGATGCCTGGAAAATCTGCCTCTATGGAAAGACTTTTCGTCTCTTTATACTACAGAATGTTTTATTTTATTGTTCTGGATGAAGGGGGGTTACATTAATTGAAAGCTAAAGGGGGGGGGGAAAAGAAGCCCAAGAATTATCAAACAGTAGCCAAAGTAATTTATGCATGATCTTTGAGCGCAGCGCATGTGCTTATCCGTAATTTAAAACTCAGAAGAAAGCATGCTTCGACAACTGGGCGCAGCTCTAAAGCTGAACGACTCTGGATGAGGACAGGATGGAACCGGTTCCTGGCACCTGACATAGTCATCTGAGACCCGACGCCCAGCCCAGCTTCTGTCTGGACATCACAGCCATACTACACACAGCCTGGCTTGCTTCTGATTTCTCTGTGCCATTGAGAAAGGCCCTCCCTTGTCGCTAAACGACTGCACATTTCATTTATAACCCTGGCCCTACAATTACCCAAGTGTCCTTCCTGTGAATTGATTTACAAACGGTCCTCCAATTACTGACTTTCGGAGTTACTGAAGCAAATGGCAGAGGGCAATGACCACACCCCTGGCCTCCACGCTGCGACTTCTAACCTTAGAGAGATGTGCAAACTGGCCTGACCTTAGTTCCAGGCATGCCTTAAATGCGCAAAAAAAAATAAGAAGAAAAGGATTTCACTCCCCTCCTTTTGGAAATACTGTTGGTGGCACCAAGGCTGGTGTGTGTTGCGGGGGAGTGAGAGAACAAGGGGCTTGGCGAGAAATCCACTCTGGTTCGCTCCCAGGCTGCTCTGAGTGGACTGATCGCTGAGAGGACTGAGCGGATGAGAAGGGCGTGCTGATGGTGAGGTAGGAGGAGCAGAAAGAGAGGGCGGGGGATGAAGGTGTGGGAGGCCACAAGAGCAGCATAGCTCCTGCGCGCAGACGCGGCCTCGGCCCACGGAAGGGCCACAGAACAAACAATGGCTACGTTTTGCCAAGTCCTTGTTTGCAGGGCAGGCACCCTCCTCCATGTCTCCCCCGAGCCGACCATGAGCAGACTTTACCCCTTTCCATCTTCTCCTTTCAATCAAATCTCCAGTCCATGAAGAACAAAACAGAACGTCTGACCATGGTGTGGGGCGGCTCGCCGCTGCCCTCTCCCACCCTGTCTGTCTCTCCCAACCCCAGAGCAGCGGGGCAGCTGGAACAAACGTACTTGCGCTGCACCTTGTCAAGCCAGGGAAAAAGCTACCGGGAAGGAGCTGCGGAGAATGCCTGGCCAGCCCCGCACCTAGGGGACACTCCGGGGAAATAAATTAGCCATGTCTATTGCACATCTACCAGCAGCTCAGCTGGGTCCGAATCTAAATCTCCTCCCCACCCAATGACTCCGCAGGGGCAGGCGCCCCAAATGCCATCTCCTGGGCCAGGCTCCGCTCCAGGTCCTCCAGCTCCTGGCGCACCTCCCCTATGAAGCCACCATCTTCATATTCATCAGGGGTCTCCCTGGGCAGCAGACTCTCCTCATTCTGGTCATGGCTACCGATGAAGACTGTCTTGCACACGTACACCAGACTGTGGCTGGGGAAGAGGGTTGAGATTTGGTCAAGGTTCTCTCTGTTATCCCAGAGAGCAAAGCCAGGCTTAGAGCATGTCAGGTCCGTGTGAAGCCTTGGGCTGTACTCTGTGGGGGCCTTCAGGCCTCACTAACTCACTATTTCCTGTCAGGGTGCATCCTGTCACCATCTTACTGAAGAGTCAGAGGGAGAAAGCCCTCAAGGGGTCGTCACAGGCCTCCTCTTCTGTGACTAACTATTGGCTTGTCTGCCTAGGTGCAGGCCCTGATGGTGGAGATTTGGAGGTTCACTGCCACATGGAGTCCCCTTAGCCCTCTGCCCATGTGGGTTTCAAGAAGGAGGCCCAATATAACCCCACATCTGCTGCACACATGGTGACCCTGGGCCTCTGAGGGAGAGGGGAGGGGAATTCTGGCTTTCTTCCCTGTGCCCCTAGATTCTGGTAGAACAGAAGGCTGAGAAGAGGGTGTGGATAGGACAGAAGAACAGCCCTGCCAACCCTGAAGCTTCAGTTTCATGAGCCTCTAACCTACAGGTGCCCTCCACATTGGTGGTCCACCCCTCTTCCGTGTCAGCATCCTCTCCCACCATGATGGTGTGGGTCTGGGCTCCTTCCCTCCACACCCTCCCCCTAGTGACCTACCCCACACTGAATCAACATCTCTTCCTAGCCAAACCTGCTTCTAAGTCCCCTTGGATGACATTTTTCCTGCTCTCAGGGCCGGGTACAGTCACAGAAGGGACCTCACCTCTGAGGTTGGCAGAGGAGTCCACTGGCACAGGGGCATCGGTCCAAAGCGCCTTCGGGCTCCAGTTCCCAGGTGATGAGGTCCAGCAGCTGGCTGGCAGGGTCATGGCAGAGCTCCCCCTCCACAGGCAGGAATGTGCACACGGGGAACAGCAGGCCTGGAACAGCCAAGCGTCACCGTGAAGACAGACACAGGCTTGCTCTCCTCCCTCAACCCCACGTGAGGAAGGAATCGAAGGAGTGGACAGACTGAGAAGGTAGTATACACTTGGGATGAACTAACCCGTGAGGACTGGATCAGTGATGGGGGTTCTTGCCTGAAGAGCGGGGCTGAGGGTTGGAGGCCAAATCACCAGGGGAAATGAAGAGTGGAACCAAGGTCCTCTAGCAGGGGCAGAGTGATGCGGACTCTCTGTATGCTATGAATATCATTGATTAATAAAGGAACTGCTTTGGGCCTATAGCAGGGCTATAGGGGAATGGAGCTAGGCGGGGAAATCTAAACAGAATGCTCAGAGAAAGGAACTTTAGCTGGTAAGTCACAGTCACGTGGCGATACGCAGATAGATAGAAATGGGTTAGATTAAGATGTAAGAGTTAGCCAATAATAAGCTAGAGCTAATGGGCCAAGCAGTGATTTAATTGATACAGTTTCTGTGTGGTTATTTCAGGGCTGAGCAGCCGGGAATCAACTAGTGGCCCCCTCCTTACAACAACAGAGGGTTAATAGGGGCCCGGATCAGGGCAGGTGGATGAGTAAAGGAGCAGAGACAAAGAGGACAGAGGATTTGGGTGCCTATGGCTTTGGAGGTAGGAGAAGACAGACTTTGAGAGGGGGTGGGACAACCACTGGAATGCTATCCTCCATGCAAATCATGAGGTGGCAGGCACAGGGAGGGACAGTAGGGTTGGGAAAAGGGAGCTGGGGAGGAGCTGGGGAGGAGCTGAGAGCTTTCAGACACACTCCTGGCAAAGGAGAGGGCCTGCACATGCCCATCAAGAGAGGCCCTCGGAACTGAAAAGAGAATCCACACAAAACACCCAGGCCAATGGTGCCTTTGTGGGATGTTGGGGTGGGGGGGCTTCTGGGATCCCACCCATCTGGGGATGCTCCTCCTGCCCTGGACTCAGGCATCCTAAAAGAACTTAACTTGCATAGTCAACAACTGGGAAAAACAAAGCAAGAAGTTCTCTCCCTACTCTAGGAAGAGCCTGTGGGGCTGGGGCGACAGTGGAAGCATCTGAGATGCTGTCGCGGGGAGGCAGGACCCTGAAAAGGTGTGGGTAGCATTCTGGGGCCCAGCAGCGCCTCCTGAGTGATGAGGACAGATTTCCCCAGCACCTACCGGGGAGCCCACATACCTCTTTGGAAGGCACAGCACAGGCCAGGTTGGCAATCCCTCTGGTTGTCACAGATGGTCCCGTTGCTACCCTTGGTGGCCTTTTTGGTGCAGTGACCCCAGACACACAGCTGGTCTCCACAGCACTCACTGTCTCGGGTGCACAGCTGCAGAGAATTGAGAAAAACACAAGGCCCAGGGCATCACTAGCCTGGAAACCTGGGCAGCCTGGCTCCAGCCTGCTTGGCCCAGTCAAAGATGGCTCACATTAGTGGAAATTGAAGGAGGCAGCTTGAAGTATGGCTATTGGCACAAGAAGGGCGAAAACACAGGGAAAACGGCCCCTGAGAAGGTGAATGTCTAAGTCTTGCCGACCCAGGTCAAAGACTTTACAAAGAGAACCTGTGTATCTTTGGCGCCTCCAGCCCATGGCTCTATCTTTCACCCTTTTCGTTTATTTGTTGTTGTTTGAGACAGAGTTTCTCTGTGTAGACCTGGCTGTCTTGGAACTCACTATGTAGACCAGGCTGGCCTCAAACTCAGAGATCCACCTGCCTCTGCCTCCCGAGTGCTGGGGTAAAGGTGGGCAGCTCCTCAGTTTATCTTTCACCCTTTCTACTAGGCCTGAGGAAGGGAAGGCGGCTCAGGCCACAGGGGAGGCAGCAGCGGTCGCACAAACCGCTAAGTCAAGTCAGAGCCAGGAAGACTCAGTCTGGGGACAGCATGCGGGGAGCAGGGACCCAGAGACCCACAGGGACGAGCAAAGAGCAACAAGAGGTCCCAAAGACCGGGCCCTGGGATGTGGGGTGGCCTGGAAGAACACCAGCAACTGCCTCACCAAGATGGAGCTGAACAAGGTCACAGGAACCCTTTATTTTCCAAATTTACTGCGCTTTATTTTACTGTCAAAATAAGGGGAAATGTCAAGAGTTCAAGTTCGTGAACCCACGGCTTTGTCCCAAAAGTCTGCTGGGTGAAGCAGAGGGCTTCCTTTGCCTGGGCTCGTGTTTCTCTCACAACCCACATTACAGGGAGTCCTCCAGCCTCTTCCTGGCTCCTCCCTCTACATATGTATTAAGCAGACTGGAAGCTCGGGGACCTGGGGAGCAGCCCAAGAGGAAAAAGTCCCTTGTCTGGGGACTGCATGTATGCACTACTATGTCTGCTACTGTTCACTGTCCCAGAAGGGACAGAGCCTCCCGTCCTCTCCTCCCTCCCTCTCTTTGCTACCCATGAGTCACACAATATGACCAGAGATTATGGGGTGGGGTGGCTGCTGGTCTGCTAGAATGACACCCTGATTACTCCAGGCACCAAAATCTGGGACTCCTCCCCATCACTCATCAGTTCTTGCAAGCAGGTGAGCTGAGAACCCCTGGGACTGCTAATCTTCTCCCCCTAGCACAGCAACGGGGACCACTGGTGTCCTTACCATCTGCTGGTCCTGGCATGGCTGGCAGGTGTACTTGAAGCTGGAAAACTGGCAGTACCTGGTGGGCCCACAGTCCTCATCGATGATGCACTCCTGGGAGGGTGGGAGGGAGTTTTGTCAGGAAAATGCAGAGGTGTCGATCTGCAGTGCCCTGGACGGGCAGAATCTGGGTTCATCCCCATCGTGGGGGAAGCACGGCCCAGAAGTGTCTGCTGGCTCCAGCCACACCAGAGCCTGCTCAGGCTGGTTGGTGCTTGTCCCCTACTTCTGCAGTCCACACGGGGTCTATCTTCTCCAGACCCCAAGAGCCTTGAGCCACCCACATCCATCACACGATTGACATCTGTGTTCAGTGTCCCCCACATCCAGGGCTGTGAGCATGGGGACGCAAAGTTGCTCATACATAGGACAGATGGTTTTAATAAAAGGTGCTAATGAGTTCCAGGCCCTGTGACTGCGCAGAAAGGGCTGGAAGCCAGGCTCAACACAGTCCCTGCTGCCTAGGAAGATACCAGAGACCACCTTCCTTGGCCCTGGCCTTGGAGGCCACAGGCCTGCCTGCAGAGAGCCCTTCACAGGCTCCTGGCTTCTAAGAAGCAGTCAAGAGGCAAGGCAAACTTTAAAGTGGGAGTCGGATGGCTGGAACCCCACCCTCCCATCCCAAAGGCCTTCTTATGGCTGCCAGCTCTGCTTAGCTAGGAACATCTGTCTGAGAGTTAGACCCATGGTTAATCTCGGCCACAAAAACGCAGGCCAGGAGTGGAAGAAAAACAGTCAAGGACATCATTCCTCACCCTTCCCTAGGACAGAACCTTCCTAGCAAGCAGGAGCTGGAGGCTACTTCTTCCATGTTGGGAAATGGTGGCACAGAAGGTCATTGCACCCTACAGGAGAGACAGCTAATGCAGGCAAAGGGGTTATTTTCACCATTTTTCAGTCTTTTGAGTACAGGGGCCCAGGACCTAAATACAGTAAGCAGAGATGAGGAGGGCTCTTGAGCTCTGACAAGCATTCTGGAAAGATCTCTATGAAGAGTGGAGTCTGCCTCAGTCCCATCTTGGGGCATCCTCCATCCTGAGACCTAGTGTGGAGCCCTACATGCCAAAGCACGGTAGGTCAGGCACAGGCCTCAGTCCCTGGGATGGTCCTCAGCTCCACTCTGTGAGTAGAGGAAACTGTACCAGTGGGTATGGCGGTATCCTGGGGGCCTGTGGCCCTGAACATGTGTTAGTTGGGTCTCAGCAGACAGACCCTGGCTCTCCTCTCCTACTATTCTGTTTAATGATTTGGATTTTTTATTATTATTATTATTATTTTTTGCAACAGAGTTTCCCGGAACTCACTCTGTAGACCAGGCTGACCTCATACTCACAAGGATCTGCCTGCCTCTGCCTCCCAAGTGCTGGGATAAGAGGCGTTCACCACTATTGTTGGGCAACTATTCTTAAGTGTTATTACTGAGAATATTGAGCAGTAGCTGGTGTCCTTGACACAGGTCTAAATGTCCCCTGGCCAGCGCTGCAAGTCTGAAGAGATAGGTGTTTGGTTCAGGACAGTTGCAGGCCTAGCACTAAGCTAAGGCCCCACCAGGGGGAGCTTGGACTGTGTTCTGCTCACCAAGCCAGGAAGACAGAGACATCTGCAATATCATCCCCCAGCCATTTCTGAAGGGTGACAGAGTCAGGATGCTTATGTTTGACACAGACATGTGTCTCACACACCAAGCAAGGTCTGGGCTCACCAGGGGCTCACACCAGAAGATCGTGTACTGCAATTTCTCAACAAAACGCCAATGGAGATCCCATCACCTGACACCCCAAAAGCGACCTAACCTCACTCTTCTGCACATGGTGCAGGAGTCCTGTTCATCTAGCTCAGAAGCTGCAGGTCCCTTCCTCTCACCCCGCACTGTGCTGGGCTCTGCAGGGAGCTGACAGTGCAGCCCAGGTCTCACCCAGTGCTGCAGCACATGGGCACTTTTTTCCCCCCTGCCTCCCACGACTTGCTCAGCCCAGCAAACCAGAAATGTCAGGAGGGCCACCATTCTGGCTTATACTAGGAAGAAAACAGACTATCTCAAGCCAAGGGGCTGAGCCTACGTCTGCTGGATCCAGGACCCCAGAGTGGCAAGAGAAGGTCCACGAGGATGTGAGTCAGCCCTGTATCCATCATGTTCCCAGTCCTCCCACACACCTGCACAAATACAGACCCCACAGATGCACAAGGCCCTCATATAAAAAGACATAGAATTTGCACCCAACCCACATATATCCTACTAAATGCTTTATCATCTCTGGATTTAATATCCAATACAATGTGTATACTGTGGAAATCATGGTTATATTGCACCATCTAGGAAACAATGACATCCGCTACAAATGCTATTTCAAACAGGTTGGCTGTGGGTGTGGATCCTGCGGTGCTGAGACTGACTGTAAGACACAAGGTGCCCTTCCTGGCGCCTACCACTCCCTCCCATACACAGACCACAGGCTCCTGGTGTTTCTCCCAAAACCTAACAGCAAGAGAACAGAGTGGGAGGGGTGACATTTGGGAAGGAGGAAGAACCAGCAGGCACCGGGGACAGAGATGACGTGGGGAGGTCTCTGCCTTTAATTAATTCAAAATTCAACCATGGGAGGGAACAAAAAGAAGGAGAAGGATGAAGAGGAGAAGGGGGAGAGGAGGAGGAGAAGAGGAGGAAGAGGAGGAAGAAGAGAAGGAGGAGGAGGAGAAGTCAACTCAGAGCATCCCTCGGTAGCAGGCACATGTCTCACGTGAGGACCAGAGGACGAGACCCGGTCCTCTAACCTTAGTGGAAGAGAAGGGGAGATGGTACGGCTGAGAAATTCAGCTTCTCTTTCCTGTGTCACAGCTGAGTCCACTCTACAGGGTCCTAAGGACCCAACTGTGCCCAAGTCACCAGAGGAGCTGAGCAAGGGGAGAGGCTGGGGAGCTAGGAGCGTTGGGAGGCTCTGCTGTTTTCTGGCCACTGTCATGGATTCTTGGCGCTGTGCTTTGGTTTCTGAGGGCTGGGGACCTCACAGACCCTCCAACTCTTAGACTCTAGACCTGAAGGCAGACTGACACTCACAACCGAGACCGAAGAACAACAGCAGAGCGAGGAGCCCTGGGCCTCATCATGTGGCCTGTCCTGCAGAGGAGGATGGGGTGGGGTTGGTCTCCAGACTTCAGAGCCAGTCATCTCAACACTACCCTGGTCTCTAGCAGAGCAAGGCCTTGAGTGGTCGCAGAACAGCGCTGGCTGCCTCTAATACCCTCAACATGGTTAAGATTCCCGTGCGCTGAAGCTCTGAGAAAAACAAAACAGCCACACGGCGATGAAGGCTCTACGGGGTAGATTCCCCGACTAGTGACTGCGGGGAGTCAGAACGTTGCCGGTACAGAGCCAAATTGTCCTGGCCTATTTTTGGCCCCGTCGCTATCTGTTTATTCCCACCACTATATTTGGCCCATCTCTGTGGCTTTTCGGCTAATCTTTTTGTAATGCCCTAACTGACCCTTAGCCTCTATTAACCAACAGACAGACTGCCATCGAATAACAGCCGAGGCCTACAGCAGACAGTTCCCCTCACCTATCTGCCGTACCTCTCAACGGATTTTTAAAGTGTCTTGATTTATGGCAGGGTTTTTTTTTTTTTCTGTTACGAGAAAAAAAATAATAACCTTCATGAAACCATTACTACATTAGAACATGGAATTTATGGTAATCTGAATCCATGTTCCCGGGGCGTGGTTGCTCATATTTGGCTCCCAAATAAGCTTTTATTCCCTTTTAGATGATAGCTGTGTTGTTGTCATCATCATTTGTTTGTTTGTCCCCCCTCCCATATCAACATTCCCATCTCAGTTTTAAAGTCTTGAAGGATCTGCCCAGGGTCAGCAGCTTGCCACAAGTGTCTCTTCCTCTCTGCAGACACCTCAGCGCGGGCCCCCCTTCAGTCCCAGTTCCTTTCCTCTACCTGAGGCACAGCCTGGCAGCATCTGCCTGCACCAGGGCTGAGAGAGAAAACCAACAGCAGAGGCTCTGTGGGCCTGAGGTGACAGAGGCAGCATGGGATTCTGTACAGCTGTAGCCATCTCTGTCTGTCTGTCCTGTTCCTCCCTCGGCCTGACAGACATCCCAGAAGCTGGTCAGGAGCTGCAGCCATTCCAAGGAGGCCTTTTTGGTTGTCAGGAGCTACATTTAGGAAACCAGGGCCGGAGGTCTGGAAGTGAAACCGAAAACAATGTGGACTGGGCCAGGGCTGCCTGGAAACTGCCCCAGGGCTGCCTGGAAACTGCCCCAGGGCTGCCTGGAAACTGCCCCAGGGCCTTCATGAGAAGAAGAAGAAAATGACACAGGAACCTCTTGGCATCTCTGTTAAGCTCACACTTCATCAGAAAAGAGGTCCTAGGAAGCAAAGGTCAAAAGCCTGGGGGTAGGAGGACAGCAATGGGTTCGCACAGCTTCCAAGGCACCCATTGGAGTCACTGGCAGACTCCAGTTTGGGCTTCATTTTGCCGAGAGGAAAAGTGAGCCTCAAAGCCTCAGGCCATGGTGGGAGGCAAAGATTTCAACGCAAGTCCCTTAGATCCCCAGGGGGTCACTCTGTCTGCTGTTCTTATAAATGCCCCATTTGGGGTCAGCCAGATGGTTCAGCCCATACAAGTGCTCACCACACAAAGCTGATGACCTGAAGTTCTACCCTTAGATCTGTGCAAAGGTGGAAGGAGAGAACAAACTCCACAAAGCTGTCCTCTGACCACCACATTCATGCCATGATCACCCACACTCTGCCCCACAGTAATAACCTACAAATTAAATGCTAATGCCCCATTTCGGATTTGCTCCCCCAGATCAAAATTTCCATGTTGATGTCCTAGCCACTAAATACTGGAGTGATAATTCATTTGTATTTTAATAAATAAAGCTTGCCCGAAAATCAGAGAGTCAAACAGCCGCTCTGGTCAGCCTTACAGACCAGGCAGTAGTGACACACCCCTTTAATCCCAGTAGTCACACTAGTTTGCCATAGAAACCAGGCAGTAGTGGTGCATGCCTTTAATCCCAGCCCTAGAGAGGAATATAA